AAATACTATCCACTAACAATATGTCTCTCTGCCAAGTGGAATTTCAGGTTATTTTAACTTTCCCTTTTTTACTAAGATGTGTGTGTCTATAAAAACACCAGGATTATTTTATAGTAGGAAAAAATTGTCATTAAAAGTGTACTGAGGGGCTGGGATTGTGGCTCAGCGGTAGAGTGCTCGCCTCGCACATCTGAGGCCCTGGGTTCAATCCTCAGCACCACATAAAAATAAATAAAATAAGGGCATTGTGTCCAACTACAACTTAAAAAAAAAAGAGAGAGGAAAAAAAAAGAAATATCCTTTAAAAAAAAAAAGTATACTGAGAAGCTGGGTGTGGTGGCATATGCCTGTAATCTCAGCACCTGGGGAGGATGAGGCAGGAGGATGGCAAATTCGAGTCCAGCCTCAGAAATTTATCGAGGGCCTAAGCAACTTAGCAAGATCCTGTCTCACAGTTGAAAAAAAAAAAAAAAGAGCTGGGCATAAAGGTGCATGCATGCCTGTAGTCCCAGCAGCTTGGGAGGCTGAGGCAGAAGGACCACGAGTTCAAAGCCAGCCTCAGCAAGAGCAAGTGCTAAGCAACTTAGTGAGACCCTGTCTCTAAATACAATAAAAAATAGGTCTTGGGATGGGGCTCAGTGGTCAAGTGCCCCTGAGTTCAATCCCTGGTACCACCAAAAAAAAAAAAAAAAAACTGGGGAGCAATGGGCTGGGAATGTAGCTTAGTGAAAGAACACTTGCTTAGCATGTGTAAAGCACTGGTTTTGATCTCCAGCACCATGACAAAAATTATATATATTTGGTTTGGACATGCAGCTCAGTGGTACAGCATATGTTTAGTGTTTGCAGAGGCTGGATTCAATCTTCAGCACAAACAAAAATGAAAGCAAAAAAGTACACTGAAGTTATATATATTTTGCCACAGTAAAAAAATTAGTGTACTGAATCTTAAAATCTAAGTGTTATGACTCCATATTATTATCATAATTAGTCATATGCTTTATTAGCTAGGAAGCTGGCTTTGAACTCAAATGCTTTTTTTTTTTTCTCAGTACTGGGACATTTTACCACTGAGCTACTTCCCTCTCCTTCTTTTCATTTTTTGTTTTGAGAAAGAGTCTTGCTAAATTGCAGAGGAGCTCCCTAAATTGCCAAGGCTGGTCACAAACTTGTGATCCTCCTGCCTCAGTTTCCTGAGCCGTTGGCATTACAGGTGTGTGCCACTGCACAGAAACCAAACACTTTTTTTGTAGGTGAAAAACAAATGCCGGGCTGAGTCTCAGATCATTTTATTCTTGAAAACTCCTTTGTCTTCCTGGACACCCTCACCCTCAGATTTAACTTTGCAATCTCTGACCCACATGCTTTACCCCAAATGAGAAACATAGTTCAAAGGAGCTCTCAGTGCAAAACAAACAAAAGAATAAAATGGATGCTTTCCAGTGCTCATGACGCACGGTCACAAACATCACTCTTGGGACATCCATAGGGATCACTTGCACAAGGACAAATGAACTTGTTTTTCTGAGTTCAGTAGATTGGTCAGTGGCCATGGCAGATCTGACACTTTCTTTGCACTGGTCTGTGTGAACACTGCTCCCTTGTAGCAATGTCCTATCCATCAGGGAACTAGATGGATGAGATCTTCCCTGCAAAGACCCTGCTTGCTTGAGGGGTGTGATATGGGGATTGTTAGAATTACTACCAAGGCCCTGAGCACGGGAGGTAGAGCAGGAGTCTGTAGGTCTATCAGACTCGGGTTTGTAATCTCACTCTGTAGCTTCTCACAATACTTTTATTTTATTTATTTATTTTGATGTGGTGCTGAGGATCCAACCCAGTGGCCTCACTGGTGGTAGGCAAGTGCTCCACCACTGAGCTCCAACCCCAGCCCATGCTTCCCAGCTTTTAACCCTGTCTGGGACTCTTCACTTTTCAAGGGCCCTCAGTTTTCTTCTCTGTAAAATGGAAGGAATAATGCCAATTTTCTGGGGCTGTGATGGAGATGAAATGGAAAGATCAACCAATGCATAATGTTTAGCACCATGGCTTATCCAATGTGCTCAGCAAAGCACATAAAATGATAAAATGATTGATTTTTTATGCACATAAAGTGCATAAAATGATTGATTCATTCAACAAATGTTATTTCACCATATAAAATGATAGGGAAAACAAAGCAGCTTCTGCTGTGTGGAGCTTCTAAACTAGTGGGGAAGACATAATCATGACATTGTCACCTGAGTAAATAATTACACATCACAATTGAGAGGGAAAAGTTCAAAAAACTGAGAGCAAACAACCAGCAGGACCTTAGTCATTTTTTAACTCAGGAAATTACACACATTATATAATGTGTTCCTTTTTCCCTTAGTCATATGAACAATATTTCCTCAGTACAATATGATGAACATATTTGCCAAGGTCATGTCTTTTTAAAATTTTTTTAACTTATATTTTTCAGTTGTAATTTGGACACAATACCTTTATTTATTTATTTTCATGTGGTGCTGAGGATTGAAGCCAGTGCCTCATACATGCTAGGCAAGTGCTCTACCGCTGAGCCATAATCACAGCCCTGCAAAGGTCTTTTCACAGCTGAAGTTTTCATAAGGTTCTCATGCCAGGTCCTAAGCAGAGATTATGATCCTCATTTTATAAAATTGAAAACTAAGTGCAGACAGAAATAACTTTTTCAAGGTAACAGCCTGATTATCAAGCAAAGCAGACATTGAGTTGAGTTGAGGTTATAGCTTTCCTTAACATGCATGAGGCCCTAGGTTCAATAGCATTACAACCCATAAAAGTGTCTGGGCTGTGAGTCCTAAATTTCAGTCCTAGTTTTTCCAACACTAAAAAAAAAAAAAAAAAAAAAGAAAAAAGAAAATTTCAAAGGTCTTTTAGCAAAAAGACATTTATTTATTTTTCTCACTACATCATTTTTTTTTAAAATTCAGAAATACAGCACACTTTCGTTATTCAAAAGTTAATTACAAGCTGGGTATGGTGGTCCATGTCTATAATCCCAATGATTTGGGAGGCTGAGACAAGAGGATCACAAGTTTGAGGCCAGCCTGGATAATTTAGTAAAACCTTGTTTAAAATTTTTTCAAAAAATAAAATGGGCTTGTGATGCAGCTCAGTGGTACAGCAGTTGTAATAACCCTGAAAAAGAAAAAAGAAAGAAAGAGATTATAGAAAGTATAAAAAGCATGATTTTCATTTTTTTGGCACTGGAGATCAAACCCAGGGCCTCACACATCCTAGGCAAGCACCCCATCACTGAGCCACATCTATAGCCCTGTATAATTTAAAGATCACACATATGCCGGTGATGGCATAGGCCTGTAATCTTAGTGGCTAGGAAGGCTGAGACTGGAGGATCATGAGTTCAAAGCCAGTCTCAGCAAAAAAGAGAGGCACTAAGCAACTCAGTGAACCCTGTCTGTAAATAAAATATAAAATAGGGCTGGGGATGTGGCTCAGTGGTTGACTGCCCCTGAGTTCAATCCTCCCCACTCTCCCCCCACAAAAAAAAAAAAAAAAAATGTACACACCACTAGCCCAGAAAACAGAATTTAATGTAGATCAGAAGCTTCCCACGTACTCTTTCCCAGAAATAACCCCCATGCTAAATTTTATATTAATTCTCTTGCCTCTTAAAGGGTTTTTTATAACTTACATATCTATCTTTTATGTTATTGTTTTACCTAGTTTTGAACTTTATATAAATGATACCTTATTTTATGTATTTTTCAGCAACTTGCTTTTTTATTCCCAACATTTTGTTTTTAAGGTTATCCATATTGATGCTGCTTATAGCTGTAAATAACTTCACAAATAAATAATATTCATTGTATAACTATACCACAATTTATTTTATTTTTTCATAATTTATTTATTTTTAAATATTTATTTAGTTGTAGATGAACATACAGTATATTTATGTTTATGTGGTGCTGAGGATGGAACCCAGTGCCTCACATTTTCCAGGCAAGCACTTTACCACTGAGCTATAGCCCCAGCCCTTCATAATTTATTTAAATCATAGTTGATAAGCATCTAAACTGTTTCCAGCACGTTGATATTGCAAACGGCACAGTAATAAATAAGATAAACTTTCCCACACTGGTGAGTATTGTTAGATAAAATTCTAGACTTGGAACTGATGGATCAAAAGTATTTAGAAGCAGTTGTAATTTTAATAGACTTTGGCAAGTTGCCCTTCATATATATACCACAGATTCTCACAAATATTAACTTAGAGAGATAAAGACGTTTTAGAAGGCCCAGGTGAGCTGTTCTATTGCAGACATGAATCAACCTGACACCAAAAGTGATGACACTAACCCTAACCCTAACCCTAATAGCATCACAACCCATAAAGGTGTCTGGACTGTGAGTCCTAAATTTCATTAGGTGAGCTGTTCTATTGCAGACATGAATCAACCTGACACCAAAAGTGATAACCCTAACCCTAACCCTAATAGCATCACAACCCATAAAGGTGTCTGGACTGTGAGTCCTAAATTTCATTAAAGTCCATATTAACATTTCATAATATCAATGCTGCAACTTGCTCAATTACTGGCAGTAACTTAATTTCTAATTTCTCATTTTCCCCGCTTTTTCCCTTGAGCTATTTTGCTATCCTGGATCTTATACGCTGTCAGGTGACCCTAGGACTATTCTGACCTCCACGAGGTTTGTCGAGTGACCAATCTTCTTTAGCCTGCAAGAATTCTAGTCTTTGGTAAAGTGATTTCAGGGACGCAGTATTCCTCCAATCACTTACGAAAGATTTTTTTTTTTTTTTTTAATATTAGAAGCGGAGCATACTAAAGCACGTGACGTTTCATAACCTCTCTGGGATCAGTTTGAAAGCGGGTGGCCAATTTGTAATGCACCTTTTGGAGTAAAGGAAGCACGCCTCTCAGAGGCAAGTTTTCATTGGATGGCGGGGCTGTCAATCACTAGGCCTATAAATAAGAGAGGCCGGCCGCTTCTCACTTGGAAGCCGGGAAGGCAGCGTGTGCAGTGAGTTTTGCGGCGCGAGAGAAGCTCTTCCGGTAATATCTGACTGTTACTTAAAATTAATCTTGAGTAGAAAATAAAAGGACCTTCTTCTCTTTTCCCCTCCCATCCTCCCCTCTCCCTGCTCGGTCGGCGCGATGGCGGAGACCGCGGTGGGAGCCTGCGGAGAAGCGATGGCGGCGTTGGTGACCGCGGAAGGCGCCTCAGGCCCGGCGGGCATGTCTCTCGGCCGGGGCTTCTCGAGCTACCGGCCCTTCGATCCCCAGACGTTGGGCTTCAGCCCGAGCTGGCGGCTGACCGGTTTCTCTGGCATGAAGGGTTGAGGCTGCAAGGTCCCCCAGGAGACGCTGCTCAAACTCCTGGCGGGACTGTCACGGCCGGACATGCGGCCCCAGCCGGGCTCCGGCCTGGTTGGAGGCCAGGAAGAGGCGGCCCAGGAAGCTGGCCTGACCTCTGGGACAGGCCCCAGCCCAACTTTTCCATTCTTGAGTATTGGGATGGACTCCTGCGTCATCCCCCTGAGGCACGGAGGCCTATCACTGGTGCAGACCACGGACTTTTTCTACCCCTTGGTGGAAGATCCGTACATGATGGGGCGTATAGCTTGTGCAAATGTGCTGAGTGACCTCTACGCCATGGGCATTACTGAATGTGACAACATGTTAATGTTACTCAGTGTCAGCCAGAGTATGAATGAGGAAGAACGAGAAAAGGTAACACCACTCATGGTTAAAGGCTTTCGGGATGCTGCTGAGGAGGGAGGCACTGCAGTGACAGGTGGACAAACAGTGGTCAACCCTTGGATTATCATCGGGGGAGTTGCCACTGTGGTATGTCAGCCAAATGAATTCATAATGCCTGACAATGCAGTTGTAGGGGATGTGCTCGTGTTAACCAAACCCTTAGGCACTCAAGTCGCCGCTAATGCCCACCAATGGCTGGATAATCCTGAAAGATGGAATAAGATAAAAATGGTGGTCTCCAGAGAAGAGGTAGAGCTGGCTTATCAGGAAGCTATGTTCAATATGGCTACCCTAAATAGAACTGCTGCCGGATTAATGCACACCTTTAATGCCCATGCAGCCACCGATATCACAGGCTTTGGCATTTTAGGACACTCTCAGAACCTCGCAAAACAACAAAGAAATGAGGTGTCCTTTGTCATTCATAATCTGCCGATCATTGCCAAGATGGCTGCCATCAGCAAGGCCAGTGGGCGATTTGGACTACTTCAAGGAACCTCAGCTGAAACCTCTGGGGGATTACTAATTTGTCTGCCAAGAGAACAGGCAGCTCGATTTTGCTCAGAAATAAAATCTTCCAAGTACGGAGAGGGTCACCAAGCATGGATCGTCGGCATCGTGGAAAAGGGAAACCGAACAGCCCGTATCATCGACAAGCCTCGAGTTATTGAGGTTCTACCTCGTGGGGCCACTGCTGCTGCTCTTGCTCTTGATAATTCCAACGCCTCCTCAGAGCCTAGCTCCTGAAATGGAATTGCAGAAGTTATTAGGAACTTAGAGCCTTTATATAAAATCATGGAGGATTCTCAAGAGTGGATATTAACAAACTTCCAAAGAAGGCTGCCTGCATAGTGGTTCCAGCTGCTTTCTCAGTGATTTGAATCTGCCAATCAGTAGCTGCCTTTATGTACATTCCAAGGCCAGAAGTAACATTTTGGACTTTGGGGGACATGTATTTATCTCTTGGGTGGAGGAGGAGCAGAAAAACCTTTCCAAAGCAAGATGAGGCTGTTCCAGTTTAAGGGGTTTTTCTTTGCACTGGTTTAATTCATTTCTGCACAAGGAATGAGATTACTAAAATTACATACTCAAAAAGTAAATTGCAAAATGAAAAAAAAAAAAAAATAGAAGCAATGAGTTTGGACCAAAACTGTTGATAAATCTAAATTGTTAAGAGAGATCTTATAATACAATGTCAAATTCTTTATTAGATTTTTATAAAGAACTGGCTCTTTCCTTTTCTGGACAAGAATTGAGCAGCTTGTCCAGTAACTGGGAAAGGAGAACCTGCAACCATCTGACTTGGTCTCTGTTAATGATGTCTTTCCTTCTAAATTCCACTAAGGATCGGGAAAGGCAGAGCAAGCCCTAGAGACCAGGATGTGATGGTCATTAATATGTTAAATTTTGTGCTAAAAATTCCTTGTGATTTAATTAATAAAGAGTAATTTCTTATAGTTAAATAAATAAGAGTAACTTTGTTGGAAAACTTTTCTGGCTAATGTTTGGTTCTTTGGGATTCTAATCTTTTACAGTCAAAATGCCATTGCTAAAAAAACAAAACAAACAAACAAAAAACAACCATTGCTACATTTAGTATCTGGCAAAGTGAGAGTGTTTTTCCTGATCCTGGATAAAGGAATTTAACACACAAATTTGTCCCTGAGATGACAGGGAAGGATTCAATGGGCATAAACTCCACAGATTTAAGGGTAGGAGAGAAAATAGCAAAAGAAAGGTGTCAACAATTCTTGGAAGATGAAAAGGAGGAAGAAAGATTTAGCAGAAGAAGCTGCCAAAGTGGGGGAATATCAACAAGAAGCAAGGAGATATGATACATAGGACAGTGGGGGCAAGAGGTGGCAAAAAAAAAAAACCCTTGAAAGTTTATATACAAAGCTGGGCACAGTGGTGCATGCCTGCAATCCCAACTACTGGGGAGGCCAATACAGGAAATTCATAAGTTTGAGGCCAGCCTGGGAATTTAGGGAGACCCTGCTCAAAAAGAAAAATTTTAAAGCTGGGCTTGGTAGCCCACGCCTAAATTGTAATCCCAATGACAGGGAGGCTAACACAGGAGGATCACAAATTCAAGGTCTGCCTCATCAATTTAGCAAGGCCTTAAGCAATTTAGTGAGACCCTGTCTCAAAATTAAAAATAAAAGTCTGGGGATATAGCTCAATAATAGAGCACTTGTCTAGCATGCACAAGGTCCTCAGTTTAATCCTCAGTACCATTAAAAAAAAAAAAGTTTACACATGGGGTAATTATATTTTTATGCTCCTCAAATTCTTCCATCCATTTCACAGTAGGTGAGTTACCTCTTACTTCTGCAGGGAAAGGGTCAGTCAGGAACTTTAGGCACAGCGGAGGACAAGGAGTGTGACTGAAAACAGAAAAATAAAAACTTTAAAATGATACAGCCCAACCCCCTTTCCAAGCTTAGTTGTTAAACTGGTCAAGGGACTGGTAGTGTAGCTCTGAAGTAGAGCATGTGCTTAGCACATAGGCAAGGCCCTGGATTCCATCTCTAGTATCAATAAACAAGCAACCCTAGCCAAGAAGCTTAAACCATTTCTTGTCTGGCACAGGTGAAATACTGGAGAATATTCCAGAGAAAATGAACGTGCCCAGAAAAACAGATGTAAACATTTAGGATGCTCCCAGTGAAAATCACTGTATTGTGACACCTCCTGGTTGAAAGGCTTCACTTGGTACTTTAAGCTTTTTAATGCCTCCTTCTTAAATATGAGCAGTCAAGGATCACTAGACATTGAAGGCAAGCTTCCAACTTGAAAACAAGTAAACAGAATGAAACAGCTGGGCAAGGTGGCATACAACTATAACCCCAGCTACTTGGGAGGCTGAGGCAGGAGGAAAGCAAATTCAAGGACAGCCTGCACAACTTAGCAAGAACCTATCTCAAAAAGGGCTGGAGATGTAGATCAGTAGCAGAGTGCTTGTCTAGCACCTACAAGTCTCTAGGTTCAATCTCTAGTAACCAAAACAAATAACAAAAATGCTTTAAGAGAACAACACACTTAGAATATAGAAAAACTAAATTTAAAAAAATTCAGGGCTGGGGTTGTGGCTCAGTGGCAGAGCACTTGCCTCGCATGTGTGAGGCACTGGGTTCGATTCTCAGCACTGCACATAAATAGATAAAAGTCCAGGGACTGGGGTTGTGGCTCAGTGGTAGCCTGCTTACCTTGCATGCATGGAGTGCTGGGTTAGATCATCAGCACCATGTAAATAAATGAAGTAATAAAATAAAGGTATTATGTCCATCTATAACTTAAATTTAAAAAAAAATCATAAAGGTCCATTGACAACTAAATTTTTTTTTTTTTAATTCAAGGCTGGGGTTGCAGCTTAGGGGCAGAACGCTTGCCTAGCATATGTGAGGCACGGGGTTCGATCCTCAGCACCATATAAAAATAAATAAATAAAATAAAGGCATGATATCCAACTGCAACTAAAAAAAAATTCAGCAAGAGTCAGAAAAATATAAAGTTAACTCAGGAAGCAGAATAAGACAAAAAGATACACAAGAGAGGGGGAAATGTATGGAAATTAGAGGTGAGCTAGGAGGTTTAACTGTGAAGAGGAGTTTTCGGAAGAGGTAATAAAGAAAATGGAAGAAACCTGGTGTGGTGGCCCACACCTGTAATCCTAGAGGCTCAGGAGGCTGAGATAGGAGAGTTCAAAGCCGGCCTCAGCAAAGGTGAGTCGAGGCACTAAGCAACTCAGACAGTGTCTCTAAATAAAATACTAAATAGGGCTGGGGATGTGGCTCAGTGGTCAAGTGCCTCATTCAATCCCCGATACAAAAAAAAAAAAAAAAAGGAAATTAATTCATCAAAGAATAATACATGTTTCCTGAAACTTAAAAGCTTTAAGTCACCCATTTCTTGAATTCCCAGAGCAGTGAATTTTAGAACATATGCAAATTTCATTAAAGTACAAAATGCCCTATTAACAAGAATAATACTGTTTTTTCCTTTCTCTGTCTATGCTGTCTATGAAGAGATGTGCCTTTATTTGTCAACTCTGACAAATAAACTTTCATGTGTATCTCTGGAAAAAAAAATAGCAAATGATTAAACAGTATTTACTTTGCACCAGGCAGTATTATGTCCTTAATATATTTTAACTCAATCTTCCAACAACCCCACTGTGCACATGAGAAAGCTGACATACAGGGAGATTAAGAAATCTGTCCAGGGCTGGAGATGTGGCTCAAGCGGTAGCGCGCTCGCCTGGCATGCGTGCGGCCCAGGTTCGATCCTCAACACCACATACAAACAAAGATTTTGTGTCCGCCTAAAAATAAATAAATAAATAAAAATTCTCTTAAAAAAAAAATCTGTCCAGTGTCAGACAGGCAATCTGACTTCAGAACCCATGCTTCTAAATCACCACAATAATACACAAAAGTTTGAGGTATCAGACTTCTCAATATCCAATTGGAAGCTAAAAGCAGTATCTTCACAATTTTGAGGGCAAATGATTTTGTAATGCAGAATTCTATGCCAAGCTACATTTTAAAAAATATTTTTTAGTCATTGATGGACTTTAATTTATTTATTTATATGTGGTGCTGAAAATTGAACCCAGGGCCTCACACATACCAGGCAAGCACTTTACCTCTGAGCCACCATCATAGCCCCCCAAGCTACATTTTTCAAGCAAGTAGAATAAAAATATTTTTAGTATATGCAAAGTGTAAAACTGGTTTCATCCCATACACTTTCAGGAAACAACTGGAAGGCTGTGGCTAACCTCAGTAGTAGAGTACCTACCTAGTATACATGAGGCTCTGGATTCTATCCCTGCACCTCCAAACAAAACCAACCAACCAACAAAAATCAAAAACAGCTGGAAAATATGCTCCAGCAAAAAAAGGGGGAGCAAACTGAGAAAGAGTAAAACATGGGAGCCAGGAAATGGAACCAAGCAGAGAAGTGAAGGCAAAGCTGAATGGCTGGCTTAGAGAGCAATCAGTCCACACTGGACCTAAAGACCTCTGGGGAAAGAGAAAAATTGAACTGATAGAACACTGGTACATTAAATTGTTGAAAATTTATTTTGAAATAATAATGGACGATGTAAAAAGAATTAGTGGTACATGCCTGGGTATGGTGGTGCATGCCTGTAATCCCAGCTACTTGGGAAACTGAAGTAGGAGAATCCCAAACTCCAAACTGGACTGGGCAACTTAATGAAACTCTGTCTCAAAATAAAAAATCAAATTGGCTGGGGATGTAGCTCAGTGGCAGAGCAGAGACCTTAGGTTTGATCTCCAGCACCAAAAACCAAAACATCCAAGGAAAAACTCCCCCAAAAGTCATCTCTGACCTCCCAGCCAACACCCAGCTACTCTCAAATTTATCACCCTATTTGCTTCACAGCTCTTATCCTAATCTGTAATTATCTTGAGAATGTGTTGATGTGCTTTAAAATTATCCCCTGCTATGTAAGCTCCAAGATGGCAGGGATGTTCAGTATTCCCAGCACCTACAACAGTGTCTGATCCAGAGTTAGTGCTCAGAATATATTGAATGAATAAAAGAATGAATGAATGAGCAAATGAAGTAGACCTTTGGGACCTTAACACCTTTTCTTTTCCCACTTTTCTAGTTCTTGGTGTCTCGTAGTGGTGGAAGCTGGCATCATCATCAATCCATTGACAAGTCTGGCTAGGCACAGAGGCACACTAATCCCAGCAACTCAGGGTGCTCATTAATTTAATGAGACCCTGTCTCAAAATAAAAAATGATAGGCTGAGGATATAGCTCAATGGTAGAGCACTTGTCCAGCATGTGTGAGGCCCTGGGTTCAATCCCCAGAACCACCAAAAAGAAAGAAAACTGCTAGGAATGAACATGTCTTAAATCTCAATTAATTATATTCCTTCCCACCCAACTCCCAGGTCTGGGTTCAATCCCCAGAACCACCAAAAAGAAAGAAAACTGCTAGGAATGAACATGTCTTAAATCTCAATTAATTATATTCCTTCCCACCCAACTCCCAGGTCTTCTATGTCTTCATTTCAGCAAATACCAAAACTACCCATCTAGTTACTCAAGCCAGAGCTATCCAATACCTCTCTTTTTTTGTTGTCTGTTATATCCAATCTGTGTTGCCTAATCCAGTGGCTAATTCAGCACTCTCATTTTGCTCATCAGTTTAGCAGCACACAAATCAAATGCCCACTTATTTTGAAACACTTTCTCTGTATGTGTGTGAGAATGTGTGTATGTGTGTGTATGCTCTGTGTGTGTGTGTGTATACACATGGAGGAGGGCAAAAAGTAGGTTAACCAATAGTGCTTATCACCTCTTTCCTGAACCACACAATCTGCAGATGCCCCTAATCACTTTTTATAAGTGTTATTTTTTTGGGGGGGTATGGACAATGTTGAAGATCAAACTCAGGATCTCATGCATGCTGTCACATCCTCTTCACAGTGTTTTTTTTTTTTTTTGGGTGGGGGGGGAGGAGGGTAATAGGGATTTAACCCAGGGCACTCTACTTCTGAGCTATATCCCTAGCTCTGTTTTGTTTTATTTTGGGACAGGATCTCACTAAATTGTCAAGAACTTGCACTCCTGTTGTCTCAGCCTCCTGGGTCATTGGGCTTACAGGGTTGCACCACTGCTACTGGCTTGCTTTATTTTTATCTAAAAATATTTTAAAACACTTTTTGTGGTATTGGGGATTGAACCCAGGACCTCATGCATGCTAAGCAAGTGCTCTACATCCCCAGCTCTTTTAATTTTATTTTGAAATAGGGTTTCACTAAATTGCCCAGATTGACCTTGAATTTTTGATCCTCTTGCTTCAGCCTCCAGATCACAGGGATTACAGGTATGTACCACTGTCCCCAGATTTACAGTGTTTTAACTATGGTAACATTTAATTTTTACCTTAATATTTATCACAATTTCAAGTATTATAGCATAGGTGCTAATAAAACTTGTGCCTAGTGGTGGAATTGCCGTACTTTTGGGACTTATTTTTGTTTATTTATTTTTTGGCACTGGAGATGCTAAGCATACACTCTATTGCAGAACTACATCCTCAGTTCCTCTGCCCCTTTGTGGAATATTAATTTCTAAAATCTGTCTTTTCTTCCACTTTCTTAGTCTTTCACTTCCAATAAACTGTATGCCTCATTGAACTCCTGGAGAACAGAAATAGCGACCCTAATAGGTATGTGAAAATAAATAATTCTCTATAAAGCTTGGATTCGACAAAATTCAAGTTCCTGTATTTCACAAAGATCTCTTTTCTCTGCGTGCAGTGGCGAACGCCTGTAATCTCAGCAACTGGCATGAAGATCGCCAAGTCTAGGCGAACTCGACAATGTAGTCAGAGCCAGTCTCAAAGAATGAAAAGGGGTAGGGATGTAGCTCAAGGGTAGAGTGCTCTTGGTTCAATCCCCAGTGCCGAGAGGAAAAAAAAACCTCTTCCCTTGGTCATATATATAACAACTCAGTGGGTCTCAGCCAAAGTAACAATTCCATGATCACCTCATAAATTCCCCAGCAAGCTTGGTGGTTTTGTATGTGGTATGGCCGCGATAGAGACACATGGGTCTGGAGAGGTGGCAGAGGCCAGTCTGTAATGGGTCACATATTTCAATGTCATGTAATCTACGTTGCGGGTAGGGAGGAGGACCGACTGGTTCCTTGAGACAGAAATGGGGATTAACTCCTTCCAACCACAGCAATCAGCCGGGGTTGGGAGAAGTGGGACAAAAGACCTAGGTCGTAGTCCCGACTTTGTTCCATTCTTTCCCTTCGATCGCATCCAAATAGTGTGGAGGCTGGTCTAGAGGGTCTTCAGAGTCCCTAAACCCTGACGAATTTAATGCAGACGGAGGGAGCATTCACTTATGGAATTACCCGCCAAACACACCCTCGGCCTCCTAACCTGCCATTTCGCTTTGGCGCCATCTGGCGCCCACAAAGGAGTAAAACGGCCACGCCCTCTCCTTCCGCTTCTCTATCCTTTCCTCCGAGTCAAATTGGTACCGCGGTCTTCTTAGGCGGAAGAATTCGCCAGAGTAAGGGACTACAGGATTAAAGCTCCTCAGATTGGTCCAGTCCTGCTACGGGGTGGGCTGTAGCAAACTCCACACAGGTGATTGGTTTTTCCGCCGGCACTACACCGTGAAGCAATCGAGCTCGCCCGTGATTGGTTAGGGGCCATGGAGGCGGGCTCCAAGCGTGGCGCGGAGTTCTGTGCAGTGGCGTCTGTAGTGGGTTGTGCAGCATGTCTAGTGCCGGAGGTGATACCCAGAGGGACGCTGGGAGAAAGGGTACTGCTGCTGCCGCCGGCTCATTCAGCTTCAGCCCGGAACCCACGCTGGAGGACATGTAAGCAATCTACGACCAGGTTCGGGTGGAGAGATTGACCCCTTCCTTTATGCCATGGGACGGATCCTCCCACGTGGTGGGGAAAAATGACTAGCAGTAGTGCTGGCTGACCCCTGGTGAGCCTCTAAACCTCTCAAGCAAAGTGGCCTCAGCAGTTCACAACTAAAGCGGGGAAATTGCCCCGGGAGTCTATACTACCTCCGCCCTTCCGGAGTGGGTGTACCACCCAACAGAGGCAGATGAAGTGCGGAGAGGTAGGAAACATTAATTCTTCCTGGAGGAAATCAAGAAAAGCTTCTTAGGGAAAGTGTAAAATAAGCAGGACTTAGATGTGCAAAGATAGGGATATTCCAAGTGGAGGAAATTTCAGAATTAGCAATGGAATAATAAAGTATTGTTAGGTACGGCTAGTGAGACCCTGTCTCTAAATAATATAAAAAGTTGGGCTGGGGATGTGGCTCAGTGGTTGAGTGTCTGCAGGGGCACGCCGAATTCCAGGTACGAAAACCGTCTCATAAAGAGGAAATTACTTATTCAAGACCATCCACGGATTTAGTTGCAGAATCCTCTGACTCCAAGCCCCCTGGGGTACCTGCCTGGGCCCTGCAGCTCCTCCCCCAACCACTAACCCTGGGAATTGGGCTTCTACTCCTTTATCTTATTCCAGCCGGCGTCTCCATGCAGAGTTTGCTGCAGAGCGGGACTGGGACCAGTTCCACCAGCCTCGGAACCTCCTACTGGCCTTGGTCGGGGAAGTGGGAGAGCTGGCAGAACTCTTGTGAGTAGATGGGAAGCTTTCTGGAACAATCTGTTGTGGGGAATGGGAGAAACTATGTGATCCTCAAACATTCATGGATTCAGTTTCCCTCCTCACTGCTGGTCTCTGTGCCTGGTGCTGGGGTTGAGATGACGCTCAGGTACCAACCCTCTGGGAGCACCCAGTCTCCAGGGAAAGAAAGTGTGAAAATAGCAAGACAGACCCGGATAGTAAGAAGGAATTGTGGTAATAGCCCTTTACCTTTGTCTCTGGGGCTGAAAACAAGGTTTTCTCTAGAACACATATGTATAGTATTCCAGACAGGAGTTTGCAATGGTAGTGAGGCAAGAAAGGGCAAGTTAAACTTGGAGAGAATCTCATCCTCCTCCAGTATCATCTTCCCAAGAAAGATAAGGGATTTTGTATCTATTTTGTTCTCGGGTGTGTCCATTTGCCTGGCACATCATAGCCATTTGGTAGTTATCCAGATGATGAGTGATAGAGCTGTGCAAAAGCAGGGCTGGAGATGAACCCAGAAAGGTAGGATTGGGGCTTGAGAGTGATGAAGTTTGGACAGAAGACCTGACCACATTTGAGTAGTAGAAAGATAACTGTACCTGCAGGATGAATTAAATCACTGAGAGAATGAGACAGGGAGACCACTAAAGAGGCTAATCAGTATCAACTATTCAATTAAAATCAAGACATGAGCCAGGTGTAGTGGCACATGCCTGTAATCCCAGCAGTTTGGGAAGCTAAGGCAGGAGTTCAAAAGCCAGCCTCAGCAATATAGCAAGGCCCTACCTAAGCAACTTAGTAAGACCCTGGCTCAAAAGATAAAAAGGGGGGCTGGGGTTGTGGCTCAGTGGCAGAGCACTTGCCTCGCACATGTAAGGCACTGGGTTCCATCCATAAATAAAAATATCTTTATTTTGTTTATTTTTATAAATAAGTTTTGTCTATAAAAATAAATACACAAAATAAAGATATTAGCCAGACGTGGTGGCGCACACCTGTAATCCCTGTGGCTTGGGAGGGTGAGGCAGGAGGATCGCAAGTTCAAAGCCACCTTCAGCAATGGTGAGGCATTAAGCAACTTAGTGAGATCCTGTCTCTAAATAATATAAAAAGTTGAGCTGGGGATGTGGCTCAGTGGTTGAGTGCCCCAGAGTTGAACCCCTGGTACCAAAAAAGAAAATAAAGATATTGTGTCCATGTATAACTTTATATATATGTATGTGGGGTGTGTGTGTGTGTGTAAGTAGGGCTGGTTCAATAGTTAAGGTTCAAAAACAGAATCAAGATATATGACTTTGAACAAGGCAGACAACCTTCACAGTGGAAGGAGACTGATGATGATGATAAATTAACTAATTTTAAAAGATCTAGAATCGTGACGTCTTTTTTTTTTTTTTTTTTTTGGTACCAGGGTTGAACCCAACTCTGGGTTATCCTTGGAGGAACTTTCTGGGAGATGGGAGTTCATTGCTGCAAGGACTAAGCTCCTTAGGGAGATAGAGCCCATTGTCCTAGCTAGAAGCTATATGTGATTGTCTTTTATTTTGCCCCCAGTCAGTGGAAGTCTGATGCAGAACCTGGCCCCAAAGCCTGGCCCCTGAGGGAACGGGCAGCCCTTCAAGAAGAGCTTAGTGATGTTCTCATCTATCTGGTGGCATTAGCAGCCCGTTGCCATGTGGATCTGCCCCAAGCAGTGCTCTCCAAAATGGATACCAACCGGCGACGTTACCCCGTTCATCTGTCACGTGGCTCAGCCCGCAAGTATACAGACTTGTCCCATGGGGCCATCTCTGAAGACCAGACTATGGGTCCTGCAGACCTTGCCCATGAGTCCTCAAGCCAGACCTCAACATAGAAACATGGGATCAGAACCTGCAACTCAGCATGGCATGTGAGAAGCAGAGGTGGCCTGGCTACAGAACTTATTATAGTCCTTTCCTAACAAATCAGGGCTGGGTCCCATTTCCCAGTTTTCAAGGCCCAAGAGCCTCCAGAAGATAGCCTTCTGGTGTTTTCTCCCCCAATAAAATGGTTTTAACTTCTAGATTCTTCTGAGGTGGCTAGGTAGGCTATCAGTAGCATTGCAGAAGGGCACCAGGAGTGTCTCTGAGCCCAGTCCTCACAGTTCTCTATTTTACCTTCTATCTGCAGGGCAGTGATCCAGTTGTTAGTAAATTCCTACAGGAATTTCATGCAAGTCTTCCCACTTCTGGACCTATAGAGAACATCAGAGGCTATATACAGTGTTGGTTAACCAACAGTTCATATTCAGAACCAGGTTCTCTGGGTTCAGATACTTAGGGGCTGGATGATAGTCATCATTTTACTTCATCTCTTGTAAAAAGAAAATAATAGCCTAGCACACAGTTTAAATAACTTAGTTTGTAGTTCTATTTTGCCTTTTCAACTCAAAGCTTTCAGGGGTCCATCAGGGACAAATCAGGGCCAGATCTCTGATGTACAGCAGAAGGGAGCTGCTGCTTCTCATGGGCACCTTCATAAAATTGAAGACCACATATCAATTAGGTCAATTTCTTGTTATTCATCTCCAAGTAAATTACACTGTTGAATTTGTACAGTTTATCTATTGTGTAATCTTGGCACGTCACTTTCCTATCTGAAATACCTATGGCCTGCATCTCACAGAGCAGGGTAATACAAAGAAAAGCACCTTTAACTACTTTTTGTGGCTAGTGTTATACTAAAGTGTACAGTACTTGCCTGGCATGTGCAAGGCCCTGGGTTCAACCCCCGGTATTGACATTAAAGAAAAAAAAAATTTTTTTGAGATTTAACAATGGTCACTGACTTGCTATCCCTCTCATACTAAGGCCCCACTCTCCTGTCCTCTTATCCAGTGAATCCTTCCCAAGTAAAACAATCCATCAGATTGGAACTGCTTCAGCTTTATGTCTCTGAGCCCACCTTTCCTGTCCCTATCCAGTGATAAGAGGAATCTTATTAATAATCTCCAATTTTATTCCCTCTTCTTCTTTGGTTGGTGCCAGGGATTGAACTTGGGCACTCAACCACTGAGCCACATCCCCAGCCCTATTTTGTATTTATTAGACGGTCTCACTGAGTTGCTTAGCACCATGTTTTTGCTGAGCCTGGCTTTGAACTCACAATTCTGCCTCGGCCTCCAGAGCCACTGGGATTACAGGAGTGTGCCACCATGCCCAGCTTATTCCTTCTTTATTATCTCCTTCCCTTTTATGTAATCAGCTTTGGGGAAGAGGGAGTACTGGAGGTTGAACTCAGGAGCTCTTCACCACTGAACTACATCTCCAGTCCTTTTTTTGAGACTGTATCACCAATTGCTTGGGATGGCCTTGAACTTGTGATCTTGTGGCTCAGCCTCCCAAGTTGCTGGGTTTATCAGCATGTGCCACAGTTCTCAGCTTTTTTTTTTTAAGAGATGGGTCACATTGTGTTGCCCAGGTAGGTCTTAAACTCCTGGGTTCAAGTGTTCCTCCTGCCTCAGCTTTTTGAGTAGCTGAGACAATAGGTGCCCACCCTTTTACCCAGCTTTTTTTTTTTTCATTAGCCTGCCCCAACAGTATATAAAGCATATTTGAATCTTCCCCTTTTGACAAAACTAAATCATCAAACCTCCAGCTACTTTTCCTGTAGCTTTGTACAACAGACTTTCCAGATGAGTTATCTACACTCACCTGCACTACTTCATTCTCCCACAGACATCACACACGAGATGAATGCACTTGATATCACAGCAGCATCTAGCATCTGACCACTCCCTCCTTCATGAAACTTCACCTCTTGATCTCCCAGACAAAACTTCCTTTTGGGAGATGGACATGGTGTCAAGGCCACCTAACCTGGTGTCTTTATTTTCAATGATCTCCCTGACCCTTCTACATTTACTTCATACTCAACATGTCCAGACTGGGGTGTGACAAATGTTCCCACTCCAGTTTCTATCCTGCCCTTCATCCCAGTGTCCCTTCTCAGGGACACTGCCATGTGGTCACACAAGCTAATAGTGCCATCTCTCCTTTCCTTCAAACCTAGGACCACCCTTTGTCCTGAGTTATAGCTCTTTGTTTTGGGTGTTTTTTGTCAAACCCAGAGCTTCATGCATGCTAGGCAAGTGCTCCACCACTGAGCCACCCCCGCAGCCCTGAATATATGCTCAGGGATGTAAAGTTCATCCTTTCCTGATCTCTCCAGGCTTCTTTACTGCCTTAGATCCTTTAACCTGGTTTCCCTCAGTCCATCTACCACCAACCTCCTTGCTTTTTGTTCCTAACATTCCAACCCAGGGGATGTTTGCAAACTATAATGAGTGTTGCATGCAGTTTTAGGGGCTCTCTCCATGTTCCCCAGTCCTAATTTTTTCTTGACCTTTAAGACCCAGCTTGAACATTCTTTCCAACCACGAACCTCTAAACTGCATCAAACTTCAGTTGACACCAAACCACAACTGTTGAACCAGCCTGGCAACTTGTCCCTTCTCTGCCATTTGCTCCCTATATCTGCAAAAATGGAGACAAAAGGATGTTTTAAGGGTGAAAGTGAGCTAACACAAAATACTAAAAATTTTAACTGCTATACTTTTCTTCCCTCCCCATACGCCAAGGTCATGCCTTGCTTACCAAAGCTTTGCAGAATGCAATACTATTTGTCTGGAACTTGCTCTATGCATCCTTTCAGATCTGAGGTTATGAGAACATGATAACCAAAGGCCAAGTGTGGATGATTCCCACCCCAGCCCAATTCCAGGAAGCATCTTTAGCCTTATAGCCCCACTTAATTCCACAACAACCAGGAGTGGAAAACAATCTTCCACCTCTCCCCACCCACTCCACTCACAGGCACGGGTGGAGTGAAGATATAATACTTTATTCACTAACACGGGCCAAGGGGATGTAGTGAGGGGGAGGTGGGCACCATTTCGAGGGATCCTGGTAGGGTACGTTCCTTGTCTCCCAGACCCGGCTGCCGGGGAGGAGCCATCCAGGTTTACGCAGCCAGGTTGAAGTTCCAAGTGGCCCTCCCCACTCGGACGCTTCCAACCCCACGCTGGCTCAGCTGCCCTCGCACTCTGGGCAGCGCTCGGTGGCATTGGCGGCGGTGGCGCCCGCGGGTAGCTTGAAGTCCCGGCCACAGCCGGCGCAGATAAACAGGCGGCGCCGCATGTGCGCGCGACGGTGGCGGATGAAATGCGAGCTGAGGCGGAAGCGGCGGCCGCACTCCGTGCACGGATAGGGCCTCTCGCCTGTGTGCGTGCGCGCATGCTCTGCCAGATTGGAGCGATGGCCGAAGCGCCGTCCGCACACAGCACAGCGGTGCGGCTTCTCGCCAGTGTGCACGCGCCGGTGCTTGGCCAGTGCTGAACTCTGCGCAAAGCGCGTGCCGCAGTCGGCGCATGCGTAAGGCCGCTCGCCCGTGTGCGTGCGTCGGTGGCGCGCCAGGCACGAACTTCCGCCAAAAGCTCGTCCGCAGTCCGGGCACGCGTACGGCTTCTCGCCCGTGTGCACGCGCAGATGCTGTGCATAGTTGGAACTCTGCGCGAAACGACGGCCGCAATGTGCGCATGCGTACGGCTTCTCGCCAGTATGACGCCGACGGTGCTGCCGCAGGTTCGAGGCGGCAGAGAAGCGCTTGTCGCATTCTGGGCATTCGTAAGGCCGCTCGCCTGTGTGAGTGCGGCCGTGTTTGGTCAGCGCTGACTTCTGAGAGAAACGCCGGCCGCACTCGGTGCACGCAAAGGGCCGCTCGCCCGTGTGCGTGCGTGCGTGCTTGGCCAGCGTGGAGCGGCGCGCAAAGGCGCGGCCGCAATCCGGGCACGCGTGGGGGCGCGCCGGGTCGGCAGACGGCGCTGGCGCTGGCACTGGCACTTGCACCTCGCTGGGAACCTGCAGGGAGAGGGGGTACAGATCAGCCCTGATGAGCAAGCCTCCAAGCCAGAGACCTAGTCTCTGCTCACTACCTCTTTCTCAGCCTCTGTTCCCCATCTGTGAAATAGAAAACGCAAAAGTGCCTTCCTCAGAGTATGGTTGTGTGCCTTAGATGAGGTAGTATACATAACTCACATATCACAATGCCCAGTGGCATTCCAGTTATTTTTATTAACTTAGCCAATATTCACTGGGCACGTGCAATGTGCTAGACTCTATTCTAAGCACTGGGAATTCAGCATTAACTAAAAATAAGTCATTAAAAAAAATCTCTGCTTTCAGAAAGAATAAATAAGGACTGCCCATGTTGGAGAGATGTTGCAAATTTAAATAGAAATGTCAAGATACCTTACTGACTTGGCAGGCTGAGGTTGGATGTTTGCAATTCAGCCACCAAAAGAGCTAGGGGTGTAGTTCAGTGATAAGAGCGTCCCTGGGTTCAATCCCCAGAAGCAGGGCAGGGATGACAACACTTACTGATAACTGTAACTTGAGAGGGAGAAAAATGGATGGAATTGTAATAGTGGAGGGGATCTCTTAGCTTATGGCCCAAGGCCCAGTTAGCACTTTGGTTTTTAATATTTTAATGTAAGTGAGATGTAGAACCACTAGAACAGTGGTTATAAGCAAGTAAACCACCTGATCACACATTTTAAAAAGGTTCCCTCATGCTGCTGGGGTTGAGAACCCAATGAAGGAGAGGAAGGAGGGAAGAGGGCAGAAGCAGGAGCCCAGTGAGGATACTACTGTCATCTGGCAAGAGAAGATTGTGTCTTAGATCCAGGAAACAACTGAAAAGTAGAGGTGGTGAGAACTGATCTGCTTCTGGACATACTTATCAATTTGAGACAAAAGATTTAATAACAGATTAGATATGGAATATAAAGAAAGAGGAATCAAAACGACTTAAAGGTTTGGGGGCTTAGAGACTGCAAAGGTGGAGTGGCCATTTACAGGCCATTACATCCTCACTGAGTGAGGAAGGTGGAAGGAGCAAATTGAGAGGTGAGATCTGTTTGGGGCTATATGGAAAATTCTTGACACATCTGGAGCTCAGAGGCAAGGCCTGAGCGGGAGATGTTACTAGAAAACTGTCAACCTACAGACGGTTTTTCAAGGTTAAGACTGAAAGGCGTTCACCCAGAGAATGGGCAGAGACAAACAGAAGAGGAGCAACCAGATGCAGTTAGAGAAGGAGGCAAGGCAGCTGGGCCAGGACCAAGTCCAGGATCTTTAATAAACTTTTAAGAGCAAGCACCTATCTTTTTTTTTTAAGCTGTGAAGAAAAAGCAAAAAAAAAAAAAAAAAAACCAAAAACACCCAAAATGCTATTTTGAGCCAGCCCTAAGTGGAAAAAAAAAATTGAAAATGAGCCTGTTTCATGAAGTCTCAGCTTCTAAAGATAAAATCAGAAAGAGGAAAGAATGCTTTGTAAGAGGCAGGTGAAGGGAAAACATTTTGTACTAATAGAGTGAAGAGTAATATTGAGGGCACGTTGCTCCCTTCTTAGCAAAGAGAGTGCTCACCCCAGCAAAGCTGATGTTGAATATCTACTGTAGGCCAAACAATAAAGAACATTAATTTACCAGGTGTGGTGGTGCATCTCTGTATTTCCAAGCTACTCTGGAGACTGAGGCAGGACGACTGCAAGTTTAAGGCCAGTCTGGCAACATAATAAAATAAAGGGCTGAGGATGTAGCTAAGTGTAGAACACTCCTGGGTTCAATCCCCAGTACCATAAAAAAAAAAAAAAAAAACACTATCAAAGGAAATACCTGATACATTTAAGAACAAGACAGTGTTAGCTTCTCCTGTAATCAATCTATCACTATTCCCATTTTAAATAATCTATATTGGGATACAGATTAAGAGAGGGTAGAGGTGACAGTAAGAGAATAGTGGGGCCTTCTCTCTCTGAAGCTGCACAAGGGCAACTTCAAGGCCTTCCAAATCCTTTGTCAAAAGAGAACAGCTTTGCCAGGCAGTGGCACTTGCCTGTAATTCCAATAACTTGGGAGGCTGAGGCAAGTGGATTGTAAATTTGAGGTCAGCCTCAGCAACTCAGCAAGACGCTGTGTCTCAAAATTTTTAAAAAAAATTAAAACAAGGGGCTGGGGATGTGGCTCAAGCGGTAGCGCGCTCGCCTGGCATGGTGCAGCCCGGGTTCGATCCTCAGCACCACATACAAACAAAGATGTTGTGTCAGCCCAAAGCTGAAAAATAAATATTTAAAAAATTAAAAAAAAAAAAATTAAAACAAAAAAAGGTCTGATGATGCAGTTCAGTGGTAAAGTACCCCCAAGTTCAAACCCCAGTACCTCCACTTCCCAAAAAAAGAACAGCTTTGAATTCAAGCTGGAAAACAGGATAATTTGGGAAATTTAGCAACAGCCATAGGAACTCTGGACAATATATTGTTATAGTTGTTCTATTTTATTATTGTCGTTAATCTGTAATGGTGCTTAAACTGCATGTATGTATCTGAAAAAAACACAGAATATTCAGTACTGTCCAAGGTTTCATGCATCCATGGTGGGATTGAGGGGTGTCTTGTAATATACTCCCAAAGATAAGAGGGACTACTGTAATCAACATCATAATGTTAAGCTTTGACAACATTACTGTATATACATTATTGTATTAAATCTTCCTGTCACTCCCTTAATCAAGTGTGACTTAACAGAGAACACTGAGACACAGGGAAACTAAATTCACAGGTCAACGGTGGGCAGGACAGACTGAAGTGCTTACTCTCCACCAGGAGGCTGCACTCTGCCCTGAATTCACACAGCCAAGACATGACAGAGGCTGGACTCCAAGTCCCTGGCTTTCCCCAAGAGAAATTCAAGGTTAAAATACAACTTGATACTTAAATCAAGAAACTCCCCACAGCAGGTCTGGCACAGTCTGGATGCAAGGTCATACATTCCAATTTTGCTCTGGTTTTGATGTCTCTTGGGTTTATTTCAACGTGTCAACCATGGTGGAGACAGCTTTTTTCATTATAGCTACATTTTTTCTGGACCTTTTTTCCTTGGCAACCCACCCCCCTGTTTTTAAATTTTTTTGTACTCAAGATCGAACCAACCCCCCCACTTTAAAAAAATTTTTTGTACTCGAGATTGAACCCAGGGCCTTGAGCATGACAGACAAGTACTCTTGTCACCAAGCTACATCCCCAGCCCTTGGCACCCTTCTTTAAGGTGACTTTGGCCAGCCCAAGGACTTGCTATACTGACTTCACCAAATTTTTCACACAAGCATCCTGGCTGTATACAATCCAGGAGGGGAGGCTTTGGGCATCTGCCATCTGAAGATTTTTTTTTTTTTTTTTTTTTTTGGCACTAGGGAGTGAATCCAGAGGCACTTAACCACTGAGCCACAACCCCAGCCCTTTTTAATTTTATTTAGAGACAGAGTCTCACTGAATTACTTAGGGACTCACTAAGTTGCTGAGGCTGGCTTTGAACTCACAATCCTCCTGCCTCAGCCTCCTGAGCCATTGGGATTACAAGTGTGCGCCACCACCACCACGCCCAGCTTGGTAAGCAGCTGAGTCTAACTCATTAAGAACCTGGGTGAGTCACTCTCTTTCCCTGCCTCACCATCCCAAGAAGGCTAGGTAGGCTGAGTAAGATCAAACCTTCCCAACTGGGTCTGGGATTCTGGCTCAGTGGTAGAGCGCTTGCCTCAAATGTGTGAGGCACTGGGTTCAAGTCTCAGCACCAAACATAAATAAAAAATAAAGGTCCATCAACAACTAAACTGAATGAATTAAAAAAAAAAAAATTCCTAACTTGAGGCATGCACAGCACAAGACACAAGAGTATTCTAAGTGGTATGTGGGCAAATTTTTATCTTATTATAATCATTATGTGTTTTCTGTATAAACATTAGAAAAATAATATATCACATGAAACCCATAAGTTCATAAATATTATTGTTTAGATGAAGGCAAATTTATTTCAAAAATATTGTGAATCTGTTTTTAAAAAGTATTACTAAATAATGTGAATACAACATGTATGTGATATACATGTGACTGGAACTTGGCAAATACCAGACTAGGCAATCATTAAAGGCCTATACAGTTCTCAAATTCTACAACTATTGTATTAAAAATTAAAATAAATAATATTTGCCCTGTAATAAGAGGAACCATGGAGATACAGTATAGTATAATGTAATAATCCAGGCATTTGAAATTAATTATTAAGACAATTCCATGCCTAATTTTTTTTTTTCCAGTGCTTAGGATTGAACCCAGAGCCTCCCTCACACATGCTAGGCAAGTGCTCTACCAGTCAGTCACATTTCAACCCCTTAAATATTTTTTTTTAATTCTTTTTTAAGTTGTAGATGGACACAAAACCTTTATTTTATTTATTTTTTATGTGGTGCTGAGGATTGAATCACCCAGTGCTTCACACATACTAGGCAAGTACTTTACCACTGAGCCCTAACCCAAGTCCCCCTTAAGTATTTTTTAACCAAGGCAAATATCCCAGTTTCCTCCTTAGTCACTACTTTTCTAATTATTAATAATAACAACTATCTCTTATTGAATATTCACTATGTGCTAGGAATTGTACTAGGAATTCTTACCCATGTTCTCATTTTTATAAAGCACTTTATAAACAATATATATATATATATATATATATATATATATATTTTTTTTTTTTTTTTTTTTTTTTTTTTTTAACAGTAGTGGGGATGGAACTCAGGACCTTGTGCATACCAGGCAAACCATCTACCACTGAGTTACACCCCCAGTACTCCATGTTCTCATTTTAAATTCCCACAACTCTTTGGGTTATGTATCTTAGCCCTCTTGAATAATTAAGGAAATAAGATTTAGAAGTTAACTGACCACTCAAGGCCATAGAGTTATTAAACTGAAGAACCAAGGTCTGAACTAGAAGTCTGTCATTGTCCAAAACACCTGTTCTCTAAGTTTTAATCTTACTAACTTTTGAGGTCACCTGCACAGCTTGACTCCCTCCTCTGGACCTTTTTAGTATTCAGAATCTTTCTTCTTTGGGAACAAAGTATAAAACAATCCCCATCCTCCAGTTCTTTGCTATAGGAAGTGTGGTCCACAGACCAGTTACATCAGCCTCACAGGGAACTTGTTAGAAATGCTCAAGCCCCAACTTATATTTTCTGAATCAAAATCTTTATTTTAGGATGGGATGTAGCTCAGTACTACAGCAACTGCTTAGCATGCAAAAGGTCCTGGGTTCAATCCCCATCACTACAAAAAAAAATTGTTTTAACAAGATCCCTAGGTGATTTGTATGCATGTTAAAAATTAAGCAATCTGCCAGGTGTTGTGGTACACACCTGTTAATCCCAGCTATTGGAGGCAGAGGCAGAAAGATCATAAGTGTGACCAAGGCCAGCCTGGGCAATGTAACATGACCCCATCTCAAAAAAAGGAAAAATAAATTAAGCAATTTGATATGGAAGAGAAAAGAGCTACTCGTGGAGAAAGGAGATAGAAAGATGAAGAGGGTTTTATAGGCTGAGATCATATGGGTAAGACCTCATAGGTGAGAAAGGGTTATGTCAGTTTAAAGCTGCACATGGGAAGAGTGTTGAAGAGTTAGAGAAGCCAGAATGACATGAGATCACATGGTGAGGAGCTTTGAATGTCAGCCTTAGAAACGGAGACTTCATCCTAGGGAAATAGAAAACCACTCCAGGGTTCAAGCCAGGGCAAGACAGCGATGGATGTGCAAAGAGGCCTGAGAAAATCTTTTCTACTCCTTAAAGACAGATTAGATTTAGATAGGCAGAACGAACACTCTTGGGTTGGGGTTGTGGCTCAGTGGTAGAGTGCTCGCCTAGCAAGGCCCTGGGTTCAATCCTCAGCACCACATAAAAATAAATAAAGATTTAAAAAAAAAAATACATTAGTCCCTTTAAGGTCTGTTCTGGTCAGTGATTGGTCATGGGTCTGAGTGATAGCTAAGAGTCACAGCATTGGAAAGCTTTTTTTTTGGTACTACACATTGAACCCAGGAGTACTTTACAACTGAGCTACACCCCGGCCCCTTTTATTTTATTCCGAGACAGGGTCTCACTAAATTGCTGAGGCTGGCCTCGAACTTACAATCCTCCTGCCTCAGCCTCCCAAGTCACTGGGATTACAGGTATGCACCACTGCACCCAGCCTGGAAGGCACTTTTGAAATCACTAACATACAAAAAAACGAGACTCTGGGAGGTCACACAGCAAACCACTAAGCTATCTTGTGAGCAGAGTGCTAAATGTTCATGGGATAAGTGTACTCTGGCATTCAAAGATCTTATATAATTATCCCATTTTACAGATAAGGAAGCTGAAGCAAATTTGATAAATGGTAGAGCTACTGATACCACTTACAATCTGGCCCAACATACCTTTGTGACTTTCACACCAAACCCTCCCTATACCCCTCAGCTCCAGCCAAAACTAGTTGGGGTTTCCAAATACCCTTTCTCTCCTTCACTGCCACTACTACTTTAGAGCAAGTCACTAGCCTTACCTGGCCTGGTGTTCCCATAGCAGCCAATCATTCTTCTGAATAGAAATCCAGTCATGACCCTTCCCTGATTTAAGGCTTCCAATGGCATCACTTAACCTAACACATAACCCGCAGGTGGCTACCCTGGCTTGTTTCAATGCCTTTTATGCTGTGGCCCCACCTACCTTTTTAGTCTCAACACCTCTGAGGCTTATCTTTTGTAGTTTCCTCTTCCTGGAATGCTCTTCCTCCTCCTCCATTTGTTAAACACCCACTAAGCCTAAAGGCCCCCATCAAACATTATCTCTGTGAAGTCTTCTCCACTGCCTGGGTTGTCTGCCTTCAGTCCTCCATCTAGGCCTCCATGTTGGTTGCTCTGTTCATCCCCAGTCCTCAGGGTTCAGCCCAGAAAGTCCTTTGATTAAAAATGAATTGGAAAATCTCCCAAAGGACAACTGAGCCCAAGGTACTGAACTTCAGGGAAGAGACCAATTAATAATAATAACTACTTACATAATGTTTATTATGTGCCAGACAGTTTTAATTCTATACACATATTCATTCAATTCTCACAACTCCAAGAAGTAAGTGCTATTATGGCTTCCCTTTTACAAATGAGGAAACTGAGGCATAAAAAAGTTACGAAACTTGTCCAAGGTCACATGACTGGTAAGTGATGGAGTTGGAAATCCACCTTAAGTTTAGGACTCTGTACTTAACTTACAGGCAAAAGGAGATGATCAGGGATTCACAGGGCAAGAGGAAGCAGGCTGAGCTAGGATGGTGGGCCTGAAAAGCCCAAGAAAACAGAACTAGATAGTTATTTAAACTGGAGGCCCAGGGAGCCAGTCTCCCTCCCCTTAGGATCCACCATGCCCACTAGGGGGCAGCAGAACTTCCTTTCCCTGATAACTGGGCCCTGAGAGTGGCAGTACAGGAGTCCTCCAGCTAGATTCAGTGATACTCAGACTTGGGGTAGCCAGAGTACTGTGCACCTCTGGAAAGTGGAAACATACCTGATGGCAGCTAGTGTCTTCAATGGGAAACTCAGTTCACTCTGTTGTTCTTAAAAACCTTCATATAGCCTCAGGATAAAACTTGGACTCCCTTTGTGGCCTGACAACCAACCTACTCTTATCCATGCTACAATTTGATGGAACTACCCGCCCTCATTGCTCAGAGTCGGGCTCCTTTCGCTACTTCCCTAATAGAGCCAGTCCCTCTGCCTAGGGATAGTGACCCAATTTTAGCCCTCAGCTTCTTACTGGTCTCAGATAAGCCATCCCTTTTCTAAATTTGAGACCTTGGCAAGTTGCCAAACTGTCTTGGGCCTCCCCTGTAAAATGGAATAAATACTACCTGTATCATCAAATGGAGGTGTTTGGAATTGTGTCTGGCACACAGTAAATTGAAGAGTTAGCCATCGTTTCTGTTGCCTAACCTTACTCCCCCTCCAACCCCAAGTCTGAATTAAGTTCCCACCTTGGGCTTCATCATCCCCTGTGCCTGCACCCATCACACAAGATTGTGACTACATGGTTACTTGTTGGTCTAACCTTACGAGACACCAAGTTCTATGGGAATCCTACGGTAGAGTTTACTGTCCAGTACCCAGCATGGAGCCTGGCATACACAAGGAGCTAGATAGACATCTATATGATGGCAGATAGCCAACCCCTAGATTTTGGGTTTGAGAGTCAAGGGAGAGTAGGGCAGGATCCCTGATTGCTGCCTGGGGAGGTTGAACCTGGACTAGATTTGGGGGCTGTGGCCCCACGGTGTGTGTGTGTGTGTGTGTGTGTGTGTGTATGTGTGACACGTACCTCCTTGTTGTCCATGGGGATCTTGAGTTTCACCACCTCATACTTCTCCTCACCCTCCTCCTCCTCACCCTTCACCAGCAGCACCATCTCCTCCTGCATCTCTTCCTCCTCCTCCTCCTCTGCCTGCTGTTCGCCAGGCATCTTGGTGTCCTGAGGCAGGGAGCTGGATCAGAGGCTCAGGACCCGCCCCCCCAACATGGCCCTGGCCCAGGCAAGGCGGTGCAGCCGTGGCTTCCCCCGCCCTGCCCTGGTCTCCGAGTCTGGCCCTCTCCCATTCACCTCTGCCCAGCCCACGATCCAGCACTGTCCAGTGACCAACCCCGGAGACACCCACTCATCCCGGCATTCAAGGCCCAGAGCAGTTCGAATCTCCAAGCCCCCGCGAGTCGCCACCCTCCCCGCGCTGAGTCACTCCCCAGAGCCTGGGTCGGCGACCTGGAGCGCTAGGGCAAGGGCTGGAGGCGGGATTGGGCGGAGACCCTAGGGAGAGGTGCGCACTCACCAGCGGGAGGTTCGGCGCTCGCGCTGCCCCAGGCCTAGGCGCGGGGCGGTTGGGCACTCTGCGAGGCCGCGGCTCCGGGGGCGGGGCGGGGGCGGGGCCCCAGAAACAGTCGTTTATTGGTCCGAACTCAGAGCCCCGCCTCCAGGGGAGGAGCCCAGAGAACCTAGGCATCCGGCTCAAACCGCCAAGGGAGGGCGGCGAGCTGGGACCTGGATCCCTCCCTCCAATCCTAACTGTTAAGGACCAAGAGCCACCCAAGCCTAGCGTTCAGGGTCCTCGCCACCGGTACCTACCCTCACGGCTAGTCTCCGGGCCTGGCTCCTTAGTCTTCTCTACGCCAAATGTGTCTGCACCGCCCGAAATAGGCCACGTGCGCTCCCGCCCCGGCCTGGGCCTCTCGCTGGCACCCCGCCTGGAGGGCGGACCCTGTTGCCTCCTCACCTCTTCCCTCTTTCTTTCCTTTGCCCTTTTTTCCTTTCCCCGCATCTCCGCTGGCCTACGGGATACCTTACTTCTTGAATACATACTACCCGAAGCAACAACTATGCAAGTTACCGCTGCTATTTATTGAGTGCTGTGTCTACTATGCTCCAGTTATGCTAAGAGTTTTTACACGCTTGATTTCCTTTGATCTTCACAGTAAGGATCATGGCCCGTTTTACAGATGAGCTAAATGAAGTTCTGGGAGGTAAATTGCCTTGCCTAAGTTATACGGTAGGAGTGTCATAGCATTCCTGACAATTGGTAGCCCAGAGGGAAAATTAGAAATTAGAAGCTCTCAGGATATTTTTCTTCCTTCCTTCCTTCCTTCCTTCCTTCCTCCCTCCCTCCCTCCCTCCTTTTTTTTTTTTTTTTTTTTTTGTGTGTGTGTGTGTGTGTGTACGCGCGCAGGCAAGTTACCACTGAGCTACATCCCCAGCCCTTTTAATTTTTTATTTTGACACAGGGTCTCACTAAGTTGTTTAGAGCCTCCCTAAAATTGCTGAGGCTGGTCTTAAATTCATGATCCTCCTATTTCAGCCTCTGAACAGCTGGGATTATAGGCCATGCTACCACACCTGGCAACTTTTAAAAATTAGTTTTGTGAGCGTGGTGGTCCAGGCCTATACTCCAGAGATTCTTGAGGCTGAGGCAGGAGTGTCTCAAGTTCAAGGCCAGCATGGGTAACTTAGTGAGACACTGTCTCAAAATATAAAAAGGGCTCTGGATGTAGCTCAGTGGTAGAAGATCTTTGGATTCAAACCCCAGTATCTCACACACACACACACACACACACACACAAAAATTAGTTTCAAAACAGAAGAGAGATCTTTTACAAATTTTAATTTACAACATTTAACATGTTGGGGTTATGGAGGCTGAGATTGTGGCTCAGAGAGGGCTCGCCTACCATGCATGAGACACTGGGTTCTATCCTCAGCATCACATAAAATAATATAAAGATACTGTGTCGGGCTGGGGATGTGGCTCAAGCTGTAGCGCGCTCGCCTGGCATGCCTGCGGCCTGGGTTCAATCCTCAGCACCATATACAAACAAAGATGTTGTGTCTGCCAAAAACTAAAAAATAATAATAAAAAAATACTGTGTCCACCTATAACCAAAAAAAAAAAAAAAAGTGGGATAAGGGAGCTTAGCTCAGTGGTAGAGTATTTGCATAGCATGACTAGGTTCAATCCCCAGCAGTAAAAAAGAAAAGAAAAAGTTGGAATATTACATATAGAAATTTCCCACTTCTCTTGAACAAGCCAGTACGTACCTAATTCTCCCAATTTATGAATAAATTGGGGCATCCAAGATTCAGAATGGAAGAAAAGAAATAACACGCAGTAAGTATTTACAATGTTGTTTCTTTACAATAGTCCTATGGGGATCAATATCTCCATTTGACCAATGATAAAACTCAGCCCTAAGTAATTTGCTCAAAGTCTCACATCTCATAAGCAGCAGAGTCCAAGCTTGTTATTCTATTGCATTAAACTCTATCTTGGGAATGAAATTATACCAAGAAAATTCGTGGCAGATGTAGGACTCAACTGGATCATCCATCTGCAAAGCCTGGGGCATAATTTGGAGTTTGGAATAACATCTACTCAAATTTTAGTTCTTCCACAGAGCTGAGAGAAGAGGGAAAATGTCCAAATATCACATGCGAGATTCCTCCAAAACTACTTTGTGTTTTTTTCCTTTTTTTTTTTCTTTTGGTACTGGGGATTGAACCCAGAGGCACTTTACCACGGAACCACATCCCCAGCCCTTTTATTTGTTGGTTTTCAGGCAGTGAGACCTGACAGGGAGTGTAGCTCAGTCATACAGCACTCACCTAGCAGGTGTAAGGCTCTGGATTCCACCATGAAAAAAAAAAGTAAATAAGCAAATAAATATGATAATTTATGAAAAAATAAGGGCAAGATGATCCAATAGGGAGTGGCTATGGTTGGAGGGTTTCTTTAATGTGGCATCTCTGAAGAAATAATATGAACCTGGAATGATTAGAAAGGTTAACCATTTGAAAATCTGGAGGAATGTTTGAGACAGAACTGCAGAGGCCTTGAAGCAAAAAGTTGGCATGTTTAAGTCAGGTACTGAGTTATGCACCTATAGTCCACTCAGGAAGCTAAGGCAGTAGGATTGATTGAACACAGGAGTTCAAGGCCAACATAGGCAACATAGCAAGACCTTTCTCAAAAAAGAGAAAGGAGGAGCTGGGGCTATATCTCAGTTGGTAGAGTGCCTGCTTTGCATGCACAAGGCCCTGGGTTCAATCCCCAGCACCACCAAAAGAAAGAAAAGGAAAAGGAACTCTACATGCCTCAGAAATAGAAGACTTGTGTTACTGGATCTGAGTGTACTAGCAAGGGTAAATGTAGACAAGATGCAGTAAGTAGGGATCAGATAATAGCTGCATCTCCAACAAAGGCAGAGAGAATCAGTGAGGAGACTCAGCAAGTGAAAGGAGGCACCTACTGTTACTAACACAAGGAAGAGGGGCTCCATCCAATTGCTCTGCAAACATGTACAGTTATCTGTTTGCAATCACATGTGGTTTCTGCTCTTGAGAGTCTCATACTCAATAGAGTAGAAGATTGTGATAACGCTGCAGCTGTAGCTCAGTGACAGAGTTCTTTCCTAGTGAGACCCTAGGTTCAGTCCCCAGTAACTAAAACACACACACAGTCACATAGATTGTGATAAAAATGCTTAGCATGTGCAAGGCCCTGAGTTTGATCCCCAGCACTGTTAAAAACAAAATTGATATAATTATGAATCATCTGTGAACACACAAAAAGGACAGTAGGCAAAAGGACAATAGGTCTTCTGGCAGAAGAGTAGTGGAATGAGTGAACAACTCCCTGAGAGGAACAGGCATTGGGTGCAGGCCTCTCTGAGATAAATGCCAAGGGGATAAATGTGAAGGGCCTTCAAAGAGGGAATGCGACAGTTGGCAAGGAGTTTATGGGATTGTAAACTCTTATGAAGAGCAGATCATGTTTCAGGGATACCCTTCATAAAAGCATTTGGTGAAATCTATAGATACTAGGTCCTTCCTAGGACTGGGAGTAGAAAATTGAATTTGGAACTTGACTTCATTCTTTTATTATTATTTTTAATTGTCAATGGACCTTTATTTTATTTATTTAAATGTGATGCTGAGGATCAAACCCAGGGTCTTACACATGCCAGACACCTGCTCTACCACTGAGCCACAACCCCAGCCCTTGACTTCATCTTGAATCCCTGAGGACTTCGTGCGTTCTTTTTATTCTTCATAAAACAAATCATCTCCCATAGTTTTGTTTTTCTTATTATTATTTGATTTTTTTTTCTTTGAGAGATGGGGTTTTGCTTTGTTGCATTGGCTGGCTTCAAACACCTAGGTAAAAGAGAACATCCTGTCTACAGGCACCGCCACCGCACCTAGCCTACCACTGAGCCACATCCCCCAACAAAGGAAACAAAATTTAAAAGGCATAGAGCTGAAACCACACAAATGTTAAGCCGTGAATGCCAGTCAAGTGTTAAGCTTCACAGAGAGGGAATGGGAAGATAGGGCAAATGTTTTCCATGGCGGCGGCGGGGGATGTAAATTGGCCAGATGTAGTTTTACCAAGTTCACTGAAATTAGCTTGGAAGCAGAACTGATAGAGTAAAAAGACAGGGAAAACAGCAAGGATGATCTTCCAAAATCTCCGAAAGACTCCATTCAGGCCAATGGATACCGGTGCACATTTAGCCGGAAGTTGCTTAGAATCCCCGCCCTGGACGCAAAGTTCTGGGTACTCAGCATGTGCACTACCTGGCAGGGGTGGAAGGATCGGTAGGGCCTTTCTTACAGTAAGCTTTCACTGCTTTCTAGGGCAGCGTGTCGGATGGCTAAAATCTCGCGTGAACTTCTACCCAGGACTATTCCCGCTCGACCATTAGCTGAGAACCGGACTGGAGAATTTGCAAAGCAATCAAATGTTGCTTAGAAGAATGAAGGGGCGTAATGTTTTTAGTTCCCAGCCAATCAGGGGAGTTCCTCTATTTCTTTCCTCCCTATTGGCGTTCTCCTTGGAACCAGTCAGGAATCGGAGCCCTGCTCCTGAGGATGCGATGGGTGCTGGTAAATTCGGTCGTCCTTTGCAAGGGATTAGAAAGCAACCTGTTTAACCCTTCCTTTGGACTTTGCAACCAGATGGTGTTTGTTCCGCCCCAGGGAAGCGGAGTTTCCCAGTGTCCCCATAGGCCGTGCATCTGTGTTGGGACTTTCTGGGCTACATGGGTCTGCAACACTTAGGCTAACAGCCACTTTCCACCCATTCCCCGTATCTTGCCCTCCCTCCCTCAGCGTCGCACAATTTTCCTTTTAAGTATCATGTTCCAGGCTATTGCCTATGGGCTGTTAGACCTTAGGCCTCTGGCATTTGTTGACGAATCTGAATCTGGTGGCCCTTTTAAAACCCACTGTGAAGGGTAGAAAGTGGCTGACCCTGCCAGGATAACCTATTTAATGGGACAAAGAGCACAAGGGACCTACACAAGTTTACAAATCCTTTGAGGGTTTTGCCTGTGGTGTCACATTTATACTCTTTCAACCCTTGTCCTGCATGTACGTACACGTGTATACACAACCACACACCCCTACAGAGTCCAAGCCTCAGACAAGAAACAGTTTTATTAGTAAGGAGACACATGAAAATGTGGCTGTCAGGCCTTGCAGCATCCCTAGACTCTGGGGCTTCTCCTCTCTCTAGTCCTGCCCTTGCCCAATCAGCTGATTTCTGCTGATGGCCACCAGAACCTGGAAGTGGCATTCAGGCTGGATGCCATGAACACTCCTCCTGCTATTTCACCAGTGACCAGGTGTCAGGGTGGGTCCAGGTCCTCAAGGGACATAGATCTGGGCTCTATCCAAGAGTGCTCTTCCTGGCTAAGACCATGTCCAGTGACCCAAGGTTAGGAGTGGGATCTACCTACCACACAGCAATACTGTCCCCATCATGATGATCAAGATGCCCTGCCTCATCTGACACCGTAAATTCCAGATTTCCCTTTGCTGCACCTCATAGGGTCAAACAAACTGATTCAGGGTGTTTGGTCTCCCATGGCAAGTTTGGGAGGAGTAGTTCTTATCAGTCAAGCAGCAGGAATTTGGGGTTCTTTAAAGAGTTTTCAGGCTAAAGCCAGTTTCTAAATTTCAAATTAGTATTTACTGAGTGCTTACTGTGTGCTAGGCAGTGTTCTAGAATTTGAGGGTGTAGCCCATACTGGCAAGGTCCTAACACCAAGCCAGGACAGTTTCCTGAGCATCAATGTTATGGTCTCCAATTTCTATCTATTCATTCCTTTCTCCCATTTCTTCCCCTTTATTTCCCTCCCACCACCTCCCAGGCCCTTTCTACTCTGCTTCAGCAGCAGATAACCCTCCCTTTGGTTTCCTGGGCTTCCACCTTCCCTGGACCCTATCATTCTAGTCCCACTGGTGGTTCCTCTTTGAGAGGCCTTGCCCGACTATCCCCTATCCCAAAGGGCCTCAGAACCAGGTGCCCTCGCTGGTGCTTGATACGGGCAGAACTGTCACCAAAACCCTTGCCACACTCTGCACACTTGTATGGCTTCTCCCCAGTATGTGTGCGCCTATGTTTGACCAGATCTGAGCTCCGGGGGAATTCCTTCCCACAGAAGCCACACACATGGGGCTGGCTGGGTCCAGAGGGCTGGGCCCGGACTCGAGGTCGAGGAGCCGTGGGTGCTGGGCCAGGTGGGTTATGTGGCCGTAGGAGAGTAGATGGTGGTGGTGGCCGGGCACGTTCACCACGGTGGGTTCGGAGGTGCTTGACTCTGGCCGAGCTGTCAGCAAAACCCTTGCCACATTCAGGACAGAGGTAGGGTTTCTCCCCAGTGTGTACTCGATGGTGTTTCACCAGGTCAGAGCTTCGGCGGAAGCCCTTGCCACACTCGGGACACTTGTGGGGCTTGTCACCAGCCAGTGGTGGGGGTGGCTCCCCAGCCTGTGGGCCTCCAGGCTCAGGCTCCAAGCCAGGCAGGCCAAAAGGCCCATCGCCAGGGTGTGAAGGGCTTCGAGGTGTCAGTGGGGGGCTGGTGCCAAGAGGAGGTGGAGGTGGGCTGGGGATCAAAGGGGCTACAGGGTAAGCTGGAAAGCTGAAGTCCTGGGGCTCCATGTGAGTGAGGCGGTGGCGAAGAAGTGTGGAACTGAGGCTGAAGGTGCGGTCACATTCTGGGCAGGCATGAGGTCTCTCACCACTGTGTGTGCGGAGGTGCTTAACCCGGGCAGAGCTGTCAGCAAAGCCCTTGCCACATTCAGGGCACAAGTAGGGCTTCTCTCCTGTGTGCACCCGCAGGTGTTTCACCAGGTCGGAGCCCCGGGCAAACTCCTTTCCGCATACATCACAGCCAAAGGGTTTGGGCCCCAGGTGACTGCGTTGGTGGCTCAGGAGGCTGCAACTTAGCACAAACCGTTTGCCACAATCAGTGCAAATATATGGCTTGTCCTGGGCCTTGGGTCCCTGTGCAGTTGTTGTGGCTGCTCGAGATGGCTGCCGGCGGGGCACCACTGGCCGGGGGGCTTGCTCCCCCCGGTGTGTCCGCTGGTGCTTTATGCGGGCAGAACTGTCACCAAAGCCCTTGCCACAGATGGCACACTTGTAGGGCTTCTCACCAGTGTGTGTTCGCTGGTGTTTCACCAGGTCAGAACTCTGCCGGAAGCTCTTGCCACATTCACCACAGATAGTGGGGCGCTCACCAGCAGGTATCCGAGGCCGTGGAATCTTTGGGGGACCCTGGGCTGGTGGCCGGGCCCTATAGGGTTTCTCACCACTGTGAGTTCGCTGGTGTTTAATGCGGGCTGAGCTATCTCCAAAGCCCTTGCCACAGACCCCGCACTTGTAAGGTTTCTCCCCTGTGTGAGTCCGCTGGTGTTTTACCAGATCTGACATCTGCCGGAAGCTCTTGCCACACTCACCGCACACCGCAGTTCGATCACTACTAGCCTGGCCCCAGCGTGGTTCTCCCAGGACCCGGGGGCCTCGATTCCGAGGCTGAGGCTTTCCTAGTCCCTCTCTCTGAACCCATAAATCATCCCAGGTCTGGATACCTTCAGGTTTGAGAGAATCATTTCCTACTTCATGACCTGAGGCCAAATCTTCTTCCTTGAACCCCAAGTCATCCTCCTCTGGTGGGGTGTGTTCAAACACATCTGACTGAGAAATCACCACATTCTCACTCCCTAGACCTGGGAAAAGAAAAAGGAATTGTAGCTCTCACCTTTTGGCTTAGCCTCTTTGGTGTGTGGTGGGGGGAGGGGGGAGTGCTGGGAATGAAACCCAGGGCCTTCAGCAATCCTTCTACAGCACTGAGCTACACACCCCACCACCTCTCCAGGAAGACTTCCTTGACAATGGATCTCTTTCTCCTCTGAACTTTTGAAGCACTTATTGTCTGTGCCTTTCAATAACAATGGTAATGACTTCCTTTTACTATGTCCTAAATATATGCCAATATATTTAACTATATATGCAAATATAAAAATAAGTAATACTGTATCCTTGCAAACAATCCTAGAAGGTAATACTATTAGGTTACTATCCCCATTTTACAATCATGGAAATGCAGAGAATATAAGTGATTTGTTCTAAGTTAGAAAGTAGCCAAGCCAGCTTTTAACTCAGGTCTGTCTGAACCCAACCACGTTTTATTGCCTTTATATGGAAAACTTGGTATTTGCTCTTTCTATTGTACTTTGCTATATTAGCCTATTCTATAATTTATTACTTCAGTCTTCCTGTGTCTTCTCACATACATCTCTCAAGATGCTTAGGGGTGGTGGGAGAGATAAAGTATCAGTAATTATAACTGTGGGTTCAGAACAATTATAGGGCTTCTACAATTGCTGTGCGATGTCACAGCAGAAGAAACAAGGAGACAGAGAATGGCATTCACAGCAAAGAGAAAACAGTGGAGAGGAATGGAAGATAAAGCTGGAAACGGTTGTTGGGACTAGTTTGAGCATGCAAGATTTGGATTAAATGCTAGGCTAAGTATAAGGCTTTAATTAGTAGCCAGGGGGGAGCTAGGAAGGTTTTTGAGTAGAAAGACAGGATTAGATCTGGAATTGGATCAATTTGCCTGCAGAGTGCATCACTGGAGAGAAAAGGGCAGAGGTGAAGACTGTGGGGGAGGGGAGGAGTCCTTGAGAAGATGCCCATAAAGGCCTGGCACACAGTAGGTACTCAGAAACGCTGGCTCCTTCCTTTGGTTTCTGCTCCCCTCCCCCTCTCTCCTTGGAGACACAGCTTACGACCAATTTTTCTCGGAGGGGCAGAGCCCAGCACTGGAGTCCCCACCCAGCTATTACCTGTCTGTGCAGCGCACGGCCGCGGCTCTCACCTGTGCGGGCGCTTCTTAACCGCTCCCTCTCCTCTGGGCCATGGAGATCCGAACCCCAGGGTTCTACGGCGCGTTCCATCGCCAGTACGCCGCCCTGGGCAAGGGGACAGACACATAATCCTGTGGTCACCACAACCATGTGCGGCCCGCGGACCTTGCCGCTGCCCTCTGTCGGCCGGCGCGGGCACCCGACACCGGGCGCGGTTCCCGGTAACTCCCGCCGGCGCCACCGGCCACCCCTGCACCTGCTGCTCCTCCTCCCAGCACGCAGCCGTCCCTCTCACCTCGTCAGCCGCCTCCAGCTCAGCCACCCGGTGCCCTCCCAAGTTCCTCTGCAAGGTGCGGGTACCCGAGCCACTGGCGGCTCGGAGATGCGGGATCCGCGCCAACACGGGAGGGGGCCCGGTCCCAGGCGTCCCGGGGGCGGCCGCCGGGGGCGGGGACGGGAAGCGGAAGCGCTGGGGCGTATAGAGCCGCTCTAGGACCTGGGAGGAGCTGCACGCCAGTTAGGGATGCCGGTGTTGGCGGGAGCTCTGTGGCCCGCGGGTGGCTGCGTGCAGCCGGGTGGGCTACTCTAAGCCGAAGACAGTGGCCCGAACTCGGTGGTATTAACCGTGTGCCTCCTGGGCTGCAGCTGGGTGATAAGGGCTGAAGACTCTTCCTAAATGTCGCTGTTTCTCTGGCCACCGGCGCAGACCTCGGGGGCTGGCGGGCAGCGCCAGCCACCCTAGCCCGGGAGAGACAAAGAAAGAGGAATCCGGACACGGACCCAGGGAAAGGAGTGGGGGAGAGACCAAGGCAGACAAAGGGCGGCGGAGACCCCGGACGGGGCGGGGCGGGGCGCTGAGACACGGGAAACAAAGCCCGGCTGGTCCGAGAGGCCGAGGACCGCGGTGGGGGCTGGGCTAGGGGAGACCGAGGCAGGAGCAGGGACTAGAGGGGAACGTCTGGTAAATGCTGCTAGGGAGAGGGGGCAGATGCAATCAGACCTGCAGCTCCCAAATAGACCCTGAACCAGACTCACCCAGTCTTAATGTAAAAGCCCTGAATCAAAAAGGGCTCGGCTGATTAAAAATACAGGGGCAAAAGATTTGCCACCAGAAACAAGAGATGTAGAAAGATATAAGAGATAGCTATAAAGGCATTGAAGCAGTCTTAGGAGCCATAAGAAAAAGAAGCAAGCAGCGTGGAGGGAATCAGACCCAGAGTCAGAGAAACAAAGGACAGCAGTCAGTGAAAACAGGCAGGGACAAAGAGACAGAGACACAAAGAAAGAAGCTGCTAGAAAGACTGGGGACAGGCTGACAACCCTGCAGAACTAAGCCCAGAAAGAGGCTGAAGAAATAAACCCTTTTTCCATCCTGGTGGGGCCCTGGCTGGGGCTGTGTTCTAGTTAGGGGACCCAGGACCCTGGAAACATGCTTCCAGGATCTGCTTTTGTGGGAAAAGAGACTGAAAGATGTCTTCAGCCCTTTTGCCAATGATGAGGAGGCGTAACCACGTTTTTTTTTTTTTAATATTCTTCACATGAGCCTTAGTGCTCAACTAGATGATTGGCATAAGCAGTTGACAAATTCCAGATCTGTCCTTGGAGTACTATCAGTTTAAATGGGCAAGCACACAAATCTTTAAAAATAAAGAGAGTTTGCTTAGCATGCAATCAGATTGGATCCCCAGGACAGGGGGGGTGGGGGTGTGTGTTAGAGAACTGTAAGGGTGACAGTTATACCAACCTGTTCAAGATAGTGTAGGAGAGCTGGAAAAGTTCTAATACATGGGTCTTTGTCTGATAAACATGGAGGCTTTATATTGATCATAATCCCTAAAGACAACAACCACCCCCATATTTCTGATTGTTGAAGTCACAAAAGATCAAAATCCCTAAAGTCTAAAATCCTAAAAATCAGGGCTGGGGATGTAGCTTAGTGGTAAACTGTTTGCCTGGCATGCATGAAGCCCTGGATTCCATCCCCATCAATGCAAAAATAAATAAATAAAAATAAAAATCTGAAAATCACAATCCTAAAAGATTAAAATCCAAGATATTGAAATCATGAAAGAAAGTGGAAATCGTGAAAACTGCAATGCCAATTAAAAAAAGAGCCAGACCTAGTGGCAGACACCTGTAATCCCAGCAGACTGGAGCAGCAGGATCGCGAATTCGAGGCCAGCCTGACAATTTTGAGATCCTGTTTCAAGATATACATAAACGTGGGATGGGGATGTGGCTCAAGCGGTAGCGCGCTTGCCTGGCATGCGTGCGGCCCGGGTTCGATACTCAGCACCACATACCAACAAAGATCTTGTGTCTGCTGAGAACTAAAAATAAACAAATTTTTTATTTAAAAAAAAAAGATATACATAAACGCTTAGTTGATAGAGCAGTTACATTGCATGCACAAAGCTATGGGCTCAGTCCTCAGCACCAAAAAAAAAAAAAAAAAAACAGGATAAAGTGCCCCTGGGTTCAGTCTCTAGGACTGCATTTTAAAAAAAAAGCAGTAAAATACTGAATTCTGGGAAGGAATTAGTGTGTTGTTTTTTTTTTCCTAAGAGACCAAATTTCAGTGTGTTTTCCAGGCTGGTCCCAAACTTGGCTCCAAGGAGCTTATCCTCCTCATTCTACTGGCTACTGGGTAGGTAGAACTATAGACATTCACCACTGCACCCAGTTTTATATTATAAGCAGAATAGCTGCATCATGTTGGGCAGAAGAAACACCTAGAAACCTAATAAAGCATTATTTTGGATGTGTCTGTGAGGATGTTTCCAAAGATGAATGTATGAACCCAAGTGGACTAAGTGGGGAAGATCTGCCCTCAATGGGCAGGCCTCATCCCATACATAGGCTGGAGGGAAACAAATGCAGAAGGTGAGTGATCTCTCTCAGAGCTGGGACAGAGTTTTTTTTCTGCTATCTAGACACTAGAAGTCCAGACTGGCTGACCTTTGGACCCTAGGACTTAACACCAGCACTTCAGGCATTTTTCAGGTGTTCAGCCTCAGAAGAGTTCAGGTGGTCAGCCTCCTATTGGGAGTCAGGGTCTCTGGTTCCAAGATGAAGCCTCTGGACCTAGACTGAACCATGCCAATGGAATCCTAGGGTCTCCAGACAGCCTGTGGTGGGACTTCTCAGCCACCACAATCATGTGAGCCAATTCAATTGAAATCCCAAACCATAATGACAGATTTGGAATTAGGTGGGATCAAGCATTCTAAAAGTGAATTTCAAGATGTTACCAATAACGTTCATTTTTTCCATTCATACCAATGCAGAAAAGTCAGATGGGTAGATTGATAGGCCACGTAATATGGCAAGGAAGGAAAATTTGGTTTAAAAATCATTTGTTTGTATTGGCATTCCTTCCAGCTGATGAAATTCCATGAGTTCTTTCTCTCTTTTTCTCTCTCTTTCTCTCTCTCTCTCTTTCTCTCTTTTCCTCTTTCTCTCTCCCTTTTCTCTCTCTCTCTCTCTTTCTCTATTTCTCTCTCTCTTTCTTTCTTTCACCAGGGATTGAACCAGGGGGAAAAATCACATCCCCAACTCTTTTACTTTGAGGTAGGATCTCACTGAGTTGCTTAGGACCTCACTAAGTTGCTGAGGCTGGCTTTGAAATTGTGATCCTCCTGCCTCAGCCTCAGAGCCACTGGGATTTCAAGTGTGTGCCACCATGCCTAGCCCCAGGAGCTCCTAATGAATTAAAGTTGCATTTGCTTGAAGAAGCTAGTTAAGTTTCAAACTGACTTGTTTGAAAATAGTTATAAGAACTAGGGGTACAGTTCAATGGTAGAGTACTTGCCTACCACACATGAGACCCTAGGTTTGATCCCTAATACCACAAAGACAAACACAAAATTATGTTTAAAGCAGGATAAGAAGCATGGGTGTTGCTGTTCACTCACCAGTATTGTTTCTGCCAAATTTGTGGTCTGCTATGAATACATTCAGAATGGATTTCTGCATACCCAAAACAATACAGAAGCATCACATGGGAAAATTTAGTAGATAATGACTGTGTTGGTGTCTATCAAATTATAGAATGATTTCAAAAAGAACAGTGCTACATAGAAAATGAATGTGAAGTAGCTGTGCGACGGCGTGCATGCCTGTAATCCCAGTGACTCAAGAGGCTAAAGCAGGAGGATCAAAAGTTCAAAGCCAGCCTCAGCAATTTAGCGAGGCCCTAAGCAACTTAGCAAGATCCTGTCTCAAAAAATAAAAAGGGCTCAGTGCTCAGTGCTATGTGGCTCAGTGCTTAAGCAACCCTGTGTTCAATCCCTGGTATCCCCCCACCCCGCCACCGAAAAATAGCACAGAACATACATACAAAGTGGCAAAAACGGGTCTTCTATTTTTTTTTTTTTCTGGGTACTGGGCACTTTTCCAAGCTATATTCCCAGTCCTTTTTTATTTTGACACAGGGTCTTGCTAAGTTGATGAGGTTGGCCACAAACTTGCAATCCTTCTGCCTCAACCTCCTGAGTTAAACAGGTATGTGCCATCATGTGTGGCTTGCATGCTATTTAAAGGCTGTTCAATAATTCTGGGAAGGGCTGGGGATGTGGCTCAAGTGGTAGTGCGCTTGCCTGGCGTGTGCGGGGCTCTGGGTTCGATCCTCAGCACCATATTAAAATAAAGATGTTGTGTCCACTGAAAACTAAAAATTAATTAAAAAAAAATTCTGGGAAGATCAGAGTCTGAACCCAGGGCAGGGGTTGGAAGGTATGGAGAAAAGGAGACCAATTTTTTGATGGAAATCAACTGGATATACTTGTGGAGGGTGAGAATGAGAGGAATTCAGAGTGATGTAGGGTTTTTTATTTATTTTTTTTTAGTTTTCGGCAGACACAACATCTTTGTTTGTATGTGGTGCTGAGGATCGAACCCGGGCCGCACGCATACCAGGCGAGCGCACTACCACTTGAGCCACATCCCCAGCCCATGTAGGGTTTTTTTTTGTTTTGTTTTGTGGTGCGGGGGGTGGAACTCAGGGCCTCCCAGATGCTAGGCAAATGCTCTACCACTGAATATATCCCTAGCCTCCCAGAGTTTTAACTAAGACATTGGGGCTGCTCAGTCTGATGAGAAATGGAGGAGGAGGGGTTGTGGTAGAGTGGGAAAGATATAATCATCTCTTCCCTTTATATCTAAATACTGTTTCTCTTCTGGCACTTTTAGCATGAATGCTGTGAGTCACACCTACTTGTGGCTGTCTCTCTCCCCAGAGGACTGAAATGCTGACTTAATTCACCCTGTCTGGATCCTTGGCAACTAATCCACAAGAGCAGTCACTGGATATTAGCTGGCAGAACTACCATATTGCTCAGCTCATGTAATAATAATAACTAGCATTTGCATGAGCTCATCTCATATGCCAAAGCACTATTCTAAGAGTTTTGTGTATTAACCCGTATTAACCCACGTGCCGTAGTCTGTCTTTTCTTTTTTTTGCAGTACTTGGGATTAAATTTAGAGCATTTTACCACTGATCTACATTCCCAGCGGCTTTTTTTTTTTTTTTTGATAGAGTCTTGCTAAGTTTCCAAGACTAGCCTTGAACTTGGGATTCTCTTGCTTCAGTCTCCCAAGTCACTGGGTTTACAGGCCTGTACCACCAACATCCGGCTTGCTGTAATCTTGGTCATGTCCCATGAGGGAAATTATTTGTTTACTTATTTAGATACTGGGGATTGAACCCAGGGTGCTTTACCACTGAGATACATCCCCAGACCTTTTTAGGGGAGTACCGAGGATTGAACTCAGGGGTACCTAACCACTGAGGAACATCCCCAGCCCGTTTTTGTATTTTTTTTAGAGACAGGGTGTCTCGCTGAGTTTCTCAGGGCCTCCCTAAATTGCTGAGGCTGGCTTTGAACTCTTAATCCTCCTGCCTCATCCTCCTGAGCTGCAGGAATTACAGGCATGTACCACTGCACCCAGCCAGACCTTTTTCTTTATTGGTACCAGGGATTGAATTTAGGGGTACTCAACCACTGAGCCACATCCCCAGCCCAATTTTGTATTTTATTTAGAGACAGAGTTCCATTGAATTGCTTAGCATCTCACCATTGCTGAGGCTGGCTTTGAACTCTCGATTCTCCTGTCTCAGCCTCCTGAACCGCTGAGATTACAGGAGTGCACCATCAGCCTGGCTTCCAGCCAAACCCTTTTTTTTTTTTTCTTTCTTTCTTTTTTCTTTTTCTTTCTTTTTTTTTTTAGTTATAGGTAGACACAATATCTTTATTTTTTATTTTTATGTGGTGTTGAGGATCGAACCCAATGCCTCAAGCATGGTAGGTGAGTGCTCTACCTCTGAGTCACAACCCAGCCCCCAGCCAGACTTTTTTAATTTTATATTTTGAGACAGGGTCTTGCTAATTTGTGAGGGTAGCCTTGAACTTACAATCTTCCTGCCTCAGCTTCCCAAATGAGCTTCTGTGAATACAGACATGCGCCACTGAGCCCAGCTTAAGGGAGAATTATTAATGGTACTGTTGTACAGATGAAGAAACTGAGTCACCAAGAAGTTAAAGTAAGACATCCAAGGTCACATAGCTAGTAAGTTCACACAATTCTAAATAACTGCATGTCTCTATAGTCATATGTACCTTGCAAAACCTACAAGGAAGTTCCTGTGAGAGAAAGACCCAGAGAGGCAATTTTTTCTTTTTGGTAGTGCAAGAGATTGAACCTAGGACCTAGCAATGCTAGGCAAGCATTCTACAAGAGTACATCCCCAGACTGAGAAGCAACTTTTCTATGGTTACATAAGGGAGACAGTGTTAGAAATGAACTTTAAGTAAGGATAAAGTAAACACATGGCAGCAGGGGATGTGGTTCAGTGCTTGCCTAGCATGTGGAACTCTGAGTCTGAGCTTCAGGACCATTAAAAAAAGAGAGATAAAAAAGATATATACATGACGATCTGGGTGAATCTTTTTTTTTTTTTTGGTACCAGGGATTGAACTCAGAGGCATTCAACCACTGAGCCACATCCCCAGCACTATTTTGTATTTTACTTAGAGATAAGGTCTCACTGAGTTGCTTAGCACCTCACTTTTGCTTAGGGTGGCTTTGAACTAAAGATCCTGATCCTCCTGCCTCAGTTTCCCAAGCTACTGGGATTACAGGCATGTGCCACCTCTCCCAACACCCCCAGCACCCACAGGCATTCTGATAGCAAAACTTAAATATGTGTAATTCATTTTACACAAGGAAATTGGAGTTAAGAGAGGTTAAGTAACTTGCTCAAGTTTGTACAGCAAGTAAATATTAGGCATTGGGGTTTGGAGAGTTCTTTCTGACTTCCAGGTGAGGTGCCTTTTACGTCCTGCAGTCTCCCAGCCTTTGCCTCTGACGACCTTCATTTATTCATTCTTTCAAGAATCCATGCATCTAGTATATCATTCATCAGTATCTTTTTAAAGACACTGGGGAGGGCTGGGGATGTGGCTCAAGCAGTAGTGCGCTCACCTGGCATGCGTGCGGCCCGGGTTCGATCCTCAGCACCACATACAAACAAAGATGTTGTGTCCGCCGATAACTAAAAAATAAATATTAAAATTAAAAAAAAATGTTTAAAAAAAATAAAGACACTGGGGAATACAGAAATTGGGAGGACATGATCTCTGCCCTCAGAGAGCTCAGTTGGGAGCAGAGACAGGTAAGCACAGGTGGTTTTTTTAAAAAAAATTTTAAAAAATAGTTGTAGATGGACAGCATGCCTTTATCTTATTTTATAATGTGGTGCTAAGGATAGAACCCAGTGCCTCACACATGCTAGGCAAACACTCTGCCACTGAGCTACAGCCCCAGCCTTTACATGTGGGTTTTTAGGGGCCTCTGAAAGGTGCTGGGGAGTCTAAAGGAGGGGAAGGACTCTGTCTGGAGTAGCTGGGGCAGATTTTGTACAGGAGGCAGAGCCCCTTGAAAGAGGAAGAGGTGTTTTCCTGGTACAGAAAATGTGGGCAGGGCCAGTATGTTTGGGCCACTGAGATGGAGTGATGAGGACTGGTGGCAGAAACTGTCTGCCAGGCCAGAGCTCCAATTTGATTCTGAGGTCACTGGGGAGTCTCTGAAGGGTTTGATCAAGGGGTTCTTTGGCCAAAATTCTGAAATAAGTTCTGACAGTGATGTTCAAAGACCTGGAGTGTTTTTTAAGATTTTTTAAAAAATATTTTAAGTTATTGATAGGAGAGAAATGAATTACAGTAGATGGGGTAGAGAGAGAAGATGGGAGGGGAGAGGAGTGGGGATAGTAGAGGATAGGAAAGATAGCAGAATACAACAGTCACTAGTATGGCAATATGTAAAAACGTGGATATGTAACTGATGTGATTCTGCAATCTGTATACGGGGTAAAAATGGGAGTTCATAACCCACTTGAATCAAATGTATGAAATATGATATGTCAAGAGCTTTGTAATGTTTTGAACAATCAATAAAAAAAGTTATTGATAGACCTTTATTTTATTTATTTATTTATATGTGGTGCTGAGAATCGAACCCAGTGCCTCACACATGCCAGGCAACTGTGCTACTGCTGAGCCACAGCTCCAGTCCTTAAGAATGTCATTAAGGGGGCTGGGGTTGTAGCTCAGTGGTACAGTACTTGCCTAGCATGTGTGAGGCACTGGGTTTGATTCTCAGCACCACATATAAATAAATATATTAAATAAAAGGTACATCAACAACTAAGAAGAAAATCTATTAGGGGAATGAGGTAGAACTCAATGTTTAGCACTGATCCACAGCACCAAAAACATCAAAAAGTCCATGGGTTCTAGCTCAGTGGAAGAGTACTTGCCTAGTGTGTGAGGTCCTGGGTTCAATCTCCAGCTTTGCAGGAGGAGAAAAAGTCTAATACATGAACCAAAAAACTGATGGCCCCTTACTTTCAATATTGTTTGTTTTATGGTGCTGGGGCCCCTTTGTAATTTTTCCCCCTTTTTCATTGGGTATTAAATGTGGGGGTGCTTTACCATTGATCTATATTCCCAGGAATTTTTATCTTAAAATTTACATATATATGTGTATAATATATATATATATATATATATATATATATATATATATATATATATATATAATTTATTTATTTTGGTGGTCTTGGGGATCAAACACAGGGCTTCAAGCATGCTAGGCAAGTGCTCTTCCCAAGCCCTTATTTTATTTTTTTATTTTTTATTTTTTTATATTTATTTTTTAATTCTCGGCAGACACAACATCTTTGTTTGTATGTGGTGCTGAGGATCGAACCCAGGCCGCACGCATGCCAGGCGAGCGCGCTACCGCTTGAGCCACATCCCCAGCCCAAGCCCTTATTTTATATTTTAAAATATTTTTAGTTGTATCCCAGCACCACACACAAAAATATTTTTAGTTGTAGATGAACACAATTTCTTTATTTATTTTTATGTGGTGCTGAGGATCGAACCCAGTGCCTCATACATGCTAGGCAATCACTCTACCACTGAGCTACAACCATAGCCCTATTTTTTGTTTTTGAGACAGGGTCTCACTAAGTTGCTGAGGGTCTTGCTAAATTGCAAGATTGGCCTTGAACTTGCTACCTACCCTTCTGCCTCAGCCTTTGAGTCGCTGGGATTACAGGTGTGCATCATTGTCTGATAGCCCCTTCTACTTCTAATCCCATTATGGGTTTTGGTCCATCAGAAACCCTAGGAACATTTTTGTTATCTTGTGCAAGACTTTGTTAACACCTGCTAAAGAGAGCAGCCTGCTTCCTTCCTCTCAGCCTATACCTCACCTGGCACCCTGGTGACAAAGGGGCTTGGAATAAAGGCATGTAGAGAATGGAGGAGTTGAAGCTGCGGGTCCAGGTATTCCTGGATTTGGCTTTACCACCTCTCTGGTCTGGGCTGGTTTGAGCATCTCAGCTTCCTACAACTGCCCGCCCCCTTGTTTGCTGCATTCAACTTCCTGCCCTACCAGAGGAAGTGGGGAGTGATAGCAGGTGCAGAGACAGCTAGCGGAGCCATGGTGAGTCCTTGTGCCCAGGAAGCTAGGCATCCCCAGCCTAACCCCCTACCCCCACACAGTCCCCAGACCCGGGTAGACCCATAATAGGCTGACTTTTCCAAGTCTTTGGGTTCAGGTGATACTGAGGTCCTGCCTGCCACTCTCAGGAGTCTTATATCACCCCCCCACCCCCAACAGGACAAGGAGTATGTGGGTTTTGCTGCGCTCCCCAACCAGCTGCACCGCAAGTCCGTCAAGAAGGGGTTTGACTTCACACTCATGGTGGCAGGTCTGGAGGCTCTAGAGAGAGACTTGGGGTGGAGGTGTCTTCAGAAGACCCTGGCTGTCCCCTCATCTAATCAGTTGGCCTGTCCTGTCCACAGGGGAGTCAGGTCTGGGGAAATCCACCCTTATCAACAGCCTGTTCCTCACCAACCTCTATGAGGATCGGCAAGTGCCAGAGGCTAGCGGTAAGATCCTGCTGCCATCTCCAGGCAGTGCCCTTGACCCCCTTCCCTAGGTTACATTCTTCCTTCAAGTTCACTCAGTGCCCACTGCTTTTCTGAGACTGTTTTCTCCCTTGAAAAGGGGATGGGGCAACTGTAACACTGGGAAAGGAAATTAGTCTTGCTTTGAGCCCTATGCTATCCTCTGTCCTCTCCTTGCCCCCACAGCTCGTTTGACACAAACATTGACCATTGAGCGCAGGGGTGTGGAGATTGAAGAGGGGGGTGTCAAGGTGAAGCTGACCTTGGTGGACACACCTGGCTTTGGGGATTCTGTGGACTGCTCAGACTGGTGAGGAGGAGGGAAAGTGACAGGGACTGAGCCTCTCAAAGCAGCTACTGTGTGGAGGCCCAGGGGACAGTTGCAGGGCTGGTCTGACCTGGTTCCCTGACTCAAAATGAGGCACCTGTTTCTGGAAGCCATCTGGCCCAAAGTATGCTTCTTAACTTCACATCAACACCCCCACCAGTTTCCCTTGATATATGGATGGAGCCAAAGGAACTACTTCTCATCCCCATAACCTTGGCCAGCCTTGTCTCCTTGCCTGTGTGGCTTCTTATCTTTGACACATGTCCTCTCTCCTTACCCCAGCTGGCTGCCTGTGGTGCGCTTCATTGAGGAGCAATTTGAGCAGTATCTCAGGGACGAGAGTGGCTTGAACCGGAAGAACATCCAGGATTCCCGGGTCCACTGCTGTCTCTACTTCATCTCACCCTTCGGCCGGGGGTCTGAAGGGGGATCCTAAGGGTTGGGGGCCTTGGGGAGTGTACGAGGGAGGCTTTGTCCCCTGGGACTGGGCCCTGATTAATTTTTGGGTGCAGGCTCCGGCCCCTAGATGTGGCCTTCCTCCGGGCGGTGCACGAGAAAGTCAACATCATTCCAGTCATTGGCAAAGCAGATGCCCTGATGCCCAAGGAAACCCAGGCCCTCAAGCAGAAGGTGTGCGTGGTGTCCTTGGCCCCAAGTGAAGCCAAAAGTCATGACCGATCTTAGCTTTGACTTCTTTGATCTTAGGGTAGTCTTTTTGGAACACTGTGGGAGTTTTCGGGAAAGGTGGGCAGCAAGCTGCCAGAAGTAGCCATGTCTTTAGAAGTTTAAAACAGCCTGAGGGGGTGGGGATATAGCTCGGTTGGTAGAGTGCTTGCCTTGCATGCACCAGGCCCTGGGTTTAATCTCCAACACCACACACACACACACACAAGCCAGTCTGAAACAGGGCTTGGTGTCACACTGAAGGCTGAAGCAGGAAGATCTCGACTCCAAAGCCAAAGGAACTACTTCTCATCCCCATAACCTTGACAAGGTGAAGTGCCCCTGGGTTCAATCCCTGGATGGTGACAGGCTAGATATACAGCCCCAGGGCTAGATACTTAGCAAAGGCCTAAGAGCAAAGGCATGGACATGATGACCCCTGACATCCCTCTGGCCTTGTGATGCTGATGATCTCCTACCCTAAGCTCTTCAGAGTCTTAAACTATTGTTTCTCTCAGGTCTTTCATGGTCTGTTTATGTCTGCTCTTAGAATCCTATTTATCATCACTGTGACTTGATTTTGTTTTTACGTTATCTTGTATGTCTGTCTCTCACCATCTCTGTCATTCCCATCTTTCTGTCTCTCTGACTACCAGATGTCTCTGTATCTCACTGTGTCTGGCCATGCAATGTCTGTCATTCATGGCCTGTGGATCTCACTCTCTCTGCATCTTTCTCCTCTGAGATACGGGACCAATTGAAGGAGGAGGAGATCAATATTTACCAGTTCCCAGAATGTGACTCTGATGAGGATGAAGACTTCAAGAGACAGGATGCTGAGATGAAGGTATGAGAGGAAGAGGAGGAAAGGGCAGAGCAGAGGTTAGGTGTGGAAATGGAGGCTGAGGTTTTTGCCCACAAGCAGCCCACGGTGACTCCTGACCCCTGCCCTCTAGGGAAGCATCCCTTTCGCAGTCGTCGGTTCATGCGAGGTGGTGAGAGACGGTGGGACCCGACCAGTGAGGGGACGCCGCTACTCCTGGGGGACCGTGGAGGGTAAGGCCAAACACAAGTTCTGAGGCCAGCAGCAAGCAGAAGCTGCACCCAATATGTAAAGTTGGGGCGGGTTCTAAGTCCTGGGAACTCCTAAGAGTCAAAAGAGGGATACTTGGGCTGCAAACTGAGGATCCTTGGCTAGATCAGCAGCAGGACTCCCGGGTGACTGAGGGTGGGTTTGGACCGGAAACTCCCTGACGCTCACCGATCCGCCCCCCAGTGGAGAACCCACAGCACTGCGACTTCCTGAACCTGAGACGGATGTTGGTGCAGACACACCTGCAGGACTTGAAAGAGGTGACACACGATCTGCTCTACGAGGGCTACCGGGCCCGCTGCCTACAGAGCCTAGCCCGGCCTGGGGCTCGTGATCGAACCAGCCGCAGGTGAGAACCAGGACCAACGATTTTGATGCTTCCAAATCTCCACTCCTGGGGCAGCGTTCGAGACTGCACAGTTCCCACTCTTGACCCTGCCTCCCTATCCATGGCCCCACCCCACCCCACCCCCCAGCTCTCTTTCTCCACCCACTTGGCCTCCGACTCTAACCTCCCAGACACGGCCCCGCCTCCTAGACTCAAATTCCTCCGGCCTTAACCTACAATTTCAGATCCCGTCCCTGATTCCTGTCTCCCTTCCCTCTACCCGCTAGTAAACTTTCCCGCCAGAGCGCCACAGAGATCCCGCTGCCCATGCTGCCTCTGGCCGAGACGGAGAAGTTGATCCGCGAGAAGGACGAAGAGGTGAGTAAGCACCTCGCTTCCCCTCCACCCAAAGCCCCAGATCCTCTTCAAGGTCCCTCTCTGGCGTCTCCGGGTTTCACTGCCAATAATCTTGCCCCACACAGCTGCGCCGCATGCAAGAGATGCTGGAGAAGATGCAGGCCCAGATGCAGCAGAGCCAGGTTCAGGGCGAGCAGTCGGACGCTCTCTGAGGCTTCCTCCCGGCCCGGCCTTACTTCGGCTCCGCCTTCGGTCCGTTTCTTGTCCAATCCCGGCGCCCTAGACTGCCCAGCCTCTAATTCCGGAGCCTCAGCGAGTGGCCCACGCCCACTCTTGCACTTGCTTTGTGTAGGTTCTCGCGGCTAAAGGTTCAGCCCGTCCCGGAGTTTGTAGCTCCGCCCCCCACTTCGCCCTGGGCTCACTTCCAGGAGGGGCCTCCAGCCCAGCTCCTGCCAGCCTCTCCCCACCTTGGGGTGTCGCTCCCCTTCAAACTATATCTTCAATAAAAACTTAGCTTCCCGGGCGCCACGCAAGTCTTCTCACTGGCGGGAACCGGTCTAAGGGGTGGAGCCTTCCCCCGCGGACTCCAACCCATTCATTCATTTGTTGGATACTCCCTTCCTGCTGGGTAGTGTCTCCGCCCAGCCTCCTACCTGAGTCCCTCTCACAAGGCGCCTCCCATAAGAAACAAAGCGCCGCCCATAAGAAACAAAGACCAGTTGAATTTTATTGGGAATCGGGGTGTGGGACGGACTGGCTGGAAGCCTAGGCCACCAGAAGCCTAAGAACATCCTCTACTCCTGGTCCTTGGCGTCACCGTGCGTGATGACGTAGCAGATGTTCTTGTAGTCTACGTTGCCGCCCACGTCAGGGGGGAAGGCTGCCCACATATTCTTGATCTGCGGGAGAACGCACGGGCATCTCGAACTGGTCCCAGTGCTCCCTTCCCCCGTCCCGTAGCCTCTCCCAACCACTCCCCAACTCACTTCCTCCGGAGTGAAGCGGTCGCACTGGGTGGTAAGCAGCTCCTCCAGGCTGAAAGGTGACAGGAGGAGTTAAGATTGGGTCCCTGATTCCTGTCCACTCCCTCTCACTTTATCCTCGTTTTCACTGGTTTCCAGAACACTCTGGCCTCCTCGATTGCTTTTGTCCTTCCCCACTATTTGCTGTGAAATGTAATCCTATTGCCCAGTCCTATTTTTCCCTTACTCCGCCAGTGCCTGGCTTTCTGGATGGGAGCAACTGGAAGGGGCTACTTACAACTGCTTCTTGATGGTGCCCTTCCCCTCAGGGTCCAGGACCTTGAAGGCTCCAGTGATCACATCCTCAGGATCGGCACCTGAGGGGTCAGGGGGAACATGAGCCTGGAGGGTCCCTAGAGGTCTGGGAAGGGGCAGCTGGGGCCGTGGACCCAGGACACTCACTGACCTTTGAGCTTCTCCCCGAACATGGTCAGGAAGACAGTGAAGTTGATGGGCCCACTGGCTTCCTTCATCATGGCATCTAACTCCTCATTCTTCACATTGAGGCGGCCTAAAGGGGGTTCAGGGAATCAGGGGTAGAAGTTGGGTCCTGGGGCAAGGGCTGTACATTCCCATAAATTTAGGCCATCCCACCCATTTTTTACAACATAGATTGAGGCCCAAGATGGAGTTGATAGGGTTGGAACCCAAGGTCATTGAAAATTTCTCCTCCCCCACCCACCATCTTGAGTATCTGTGGGACTCACCCATGGCTGCAAAAGTGTCCCGAAGATCCTCTTTGTCAATAATGCCATCTCGGTTCTGGTCAATTACAGTGAAGGCCTGTGGAGGGCAGGGTGGGGAGAGATGAGTTCCCCCATGGCCTGGCTTCAGCATCCCCACCCCAGACATATCAGATTCTGGCCTCCTGCCAGCTGTTCTCTCCCACCCCAAGCAGGGAGGGGAAGAAGGAATTCTAAACCTTTTCCCTCCCCCTAACAGGTGCACATTCCAGGGAGGGGGTTGTGGGTGATGGCAGGGGTGCCTTTGGTCAGCTTTCAGCTTCCAGCCTTCCCCACTCACCTCCTTGAACTCCTGGATCTGAGTCTGGTCAAACATGGAGAAGACATTGGAGCTCCCCTCTGCTGCTGCCCTTCTCTTGGCCTTCTTAGGTGCCTGAGGGGTGAAGTTTGGACAAGGAGGTCCATTGGCCAGTCCCTAGACCTCTCTGGCAGGCAATGGATTAGACTCAGTGTTCACTGTTATTGTTTTGTTTGGCTATTTGAGATGGAGTATATTACCCAATAAGCATGTATAACACAGGAGTATGTTACCCAGGCTGATTTCAAACTCCGTGCTCAAGGAATCTTGCCTCAGCCTACCAAGTAGCTGAGACTACAGGTTTATGTCACCATGCCCAGCTAGATTCAGAGATCCTTGAATCCCTTCTTCTAAAGTAACTTTTCCCTCCCTTGGGACTTCTTGGCTGAGGGACTTGGTTTAGTTGTATCCCCTGAATTTCCATCTGCAGCTCCTGGGTCCCCATACTTCCATCCTACCCAATAGGTAAAAGCTTTCTCACTTCAGACTACCCCCAGCCTGCATCCTTCAATTCCTGGTTTGCTGTTTGGCCCTGATCCACTCATTTTCTTTGTCTGAACCTCTACTTTCTCATTTATAAAATGGGAGTGAGAATCCTCATCTGGCTGGTCCCAGAACTTTAGGAAGATGGAGTACAGGAGGTGATGGAGCTGGCTTTGAAAGGGCCCGGAGGGGCTGGGGATGTGGCTCAAGTGGTAGCGTGCTCGCCTGGCATGTGTGCGGCCCGGGTTCGATCCTCAGCACCACATACAAAACAAGGATGTTGTGTCCGCCTATAACTAAAAAATAAATATTAAAAAAATTCTCTCTCTCTCTCTCTCTCTCTTTAAAAAAGAAAAGAAAAGAAAAGAAAGGGCCCGGAAACCTAAGAGTGGAATATCTGGGCAGATTAGCATTGGTTGGATCCTTTAGGCCATCACTTTACCTGTTTTTCAATAGTGATACCAAGGAAGTGAGGAGTCTTTTTTTTTTTTTTTTAATCTTTTGTTGGATTGGAAAATTGCTACTGTTTTCCAAAGGGTGAGGCTGCCCTGAGTCTAATGGATCTGGCCAGGGGTTGGGGATTCTCACTCACCATGTCTTAGGTCTCCTGGGGGCAAGGCAGTGGCTCCAGCTGGAAAGAAGCAGAGAGTCAGCCTGGCGTAGTCCCTCTGGGGTTATATAGTCCTGCCCCAGGGAGCCCTTAGCATACCAGGGTAACCTTAGCCCTGCGGGTGCCCACCCCAGATACCAAAATAGCCCGGCTCAGAGACTCTCCTTTCTTGGAGGGCCAGCAGCAGCTGGAGCACACAGAGGGAGGAGGGAGTGGGTCTTGGGATGCAGGTCTCCTTAGGACCTGGGCAGGAAGGGATGATCTTTCTCCCAGAAGGGGCCTGGAATGTGCCAGAGTTCAGAGTGGGCCCAAGCTAAGGCTCAGTTCTGGGAGAGAAATGAGTACCCCTGTACCCCTCTGCCCTTGGATGGGGTAGACTCATATCTAAAACCAGTAAGCATGTATTGAGTATCTGCAATGTTCCAAATAGTGTGCTGGGCTTTGGGGGTATGCTTGTTGCTTCACCCCATATCGTGAGATTCATAGTCAAGTGTGTGTGTGTATGTGGGTGATGGCAGAGCTTAAAGTTGGGAGAGAGCCATCTGTGGAAACAGGAATCTCAGGAAGCTCTCTCACAACCTTTTGTGAAGAGGGGAGGCTGCGCATGCTGGCACACACCTGTAGTCCCAGATACTCAGGAGGCTGAGGTAGAAAGATTGCTAGCTTGAGGCCAGCTTGGACTACTTAGCAAGACCCTGTCTCAGAAGAAAAAATAAAAGGGGCCGGTGATTATAACTCAGTTGTATAGCACCCCCCGGCTTAATCCTTAGTACCAAATAAACAAATCAATCAATCAATAAAAGAGGGGAAATTTTGTGAAAGATTTTCTGTGGTCTCCGGCTCTGTGTGTCAACCCCCTGGGCCTTGGTTTCCTCTCTATAAAATGGAAAGAAACATAATTCCTATCCCACGGATGTTGCATTAAAATTAACAACTAGGCTCTGCCTTGGTGGAATTTGTAGTCTAGCTATAGGAATAAATGCAAGGAATAACATCTCATCTGGTAAGGAGCCCAGAAGTAGAGGGCATAGCACCCTGTCTTAAGAGTATAGGAATGGCTTACTCAAGGCCAGAGGAAGCAAGTCAGGTGAAAGTAGAAGGGTAGGCAGGCTAGACAGGAGACATGCCATAGGCAAAGGCCTGGACAGTGAAAGATCAGATGTTCAGGTTGCCACAGTTGTTATGAGTCTATAGCAGAGGATGCAAGGAGTTGGTGACCAGGCACTGGAGGACCTTCAATGCCAGGTAAGAATGGAGAGCCTGGAGAGCATGGAAAGATTTGAAGCAGAAGGATGTGGTCTAGTATGACTCTAGATCATTTTTCTGGGTACCTGTGTAGAGGCTGGTCCTCAGAGGAGGGGAGTCAAAGAAACCAAGAGGGAAGCTGCCTACCACTTTCACTTCCTCCTAGGCAACTGGAATGGCCAGTGGCTTCTTTCTTTGTTCTAGGCAAGAACCTCCTTGGCTGACTGACCTTTCCCAGACCTCTAGGCCTCAGTGCCCAGTTCCCACCATGCACTGGATGGATGTCTGGGGAAATAGTGGTAGAGGAAGCCCCAGGTTTGGAAGGATACCCATCTCATACTCTTCCTCCTTCTTTAGGACCTGATGTCCTGAGGAAGGTGCCTCTGCCCTTCCCCCACTCCTCCAGCCCCATGCCAATGCCTCTAAGACATTTTCTTTTCTGGGCACCGGGGCCTACCACCTGTTGTCTCTAAGAAGGGAGAAGGAGCCACCCTAAACTTAGCAGCTGCCCTTGGCTTCCTGAACTGTTCCCTCCCCTGCTTCAGATGGCAGCTGACTTACCTTATATGGTTACCATGGGGGTTCTGGCCAGGGAGGAGCCCACTTATTAGTAGATTCTGAGAGGTGAGGAGGAATCCAAAAAGGGGATTGGTGGGGGTGGGGGGAGTACTCAGGAAGCTTGAGTCAAGCCTGGGAGGTTAAGAAGGAGATCAGAGGGCTGGGGATATAGCTCAGTTGGTAGAATGCTTGCTTGCCTAGCATGCACAAAGCCCTGGGTTCAATCCCCAGCATCACAAAAAAAAAAAAAAAAAAAAAAAAAAAAAAAAAAAAAAAGGAGATCAGACACTAAAAGGGTGTTCACAGGATCTGGGTCTGAGTTAGGAGTAAGGAGCCTCAGAAAACAAGAACTGGGAAATTGGGAGCTAGGTCTGACTGCAATTCAGGATATTAGATGCTGTATGGATATTGAGGCCATCTAACTCTGGGGCTCAGGAGAATGGTGGTCAGAGAGAGGTGGGTATGTAGAAGTTGGCAGGTTGGAGAACATAAGATTAGGTCTTCATGTTTGTGGTCTAAGGGCAACTTAGAGAAGCTTATGAGATTGGGGTTCTTAGCAGAAAACGAAGAACACAGATGAGACAATGAGGGAGAGGGATTGGGTAGGACTGGAATCCTGGATTCCTCAAAGAATGGGTATACATAAGGGGGAGATTATGATACTGGGGATTCATAGATTTGGGGGAGTACCCAGAGGGATGAGATCTGAGGAATTGGGGCCTGGGGAAGAGCTCAGACAGATTGGAGCTGAAGAGAGGGAGTTAGAGCTTGGGATTCCTACAGGAAATGGAAGGTGTAGAGAGATGGGCCTCTTGAAAATTTGGGAACTCCGAATAGTCGAATTAGAGATAGCGAGGTGGAGAGTACTAGATCAGGACATTGGATCCATGGTAGGGCTCAGAGCCCCAGAGACCACCAGAGAGGAGAACTCAAGAGCTCAATGAAGAATGGGGTCCCAGAAAGGACACAGGAAGGGCAGCGTGGCACTCTTATTTGTTAAGAGCCACCTCATACCCCCCCCCGCCCCTTCTCTGCGCTGTCACCAACTGTTACCCCCCTCTGGCGCTTGTCTCCGGTTGTCACCGACTGTCACTAGGCTGGTACCGCCTGCTGGGAAACATCCCTGCCCCTTCAATGCTACCATTGGCTGAGACAGCTATCTATCTTTCTTCACTGTTGCCAAAGTGGAAGAAAACAATTATTGGCTGAGGAGGCGAATAAATCGCAAGCTTGGCCCGCCTTCCCTCAACTCTCATCCCTTCCTGACCATTTTGGGAGACCTAAAGAATTTCTCAGCTCTTTCTATTGACTGTGGATGCTGTCTGTCACCGCCCAAATAGATGTCACTGTCAATTTGACCGCTTACTCCTCTTTTCATTGGCTCCTTTTTGATCATTCCTATTAGCCAGAACGCTGTCAGGCCCCTCTTCATACCTCACAGCCCTGCCTCCTTCCCCGCCCTTCCGTGGTCGTTCATTCTTCACCCATGTTTATTGGCCAGGAGGTTCAGGTTCCCGCTTTTCTATTGGTTACTTCATTAGTCCCTCCTATTTCCCTTACTCACCCTCTGATTGGTCTTACAGCCCTCTGCCTTCTCCGTTTCCTCTTTCCAGGATACCCACCCCCTCCCCGCCTCCAACTCCACCCACTCCTCCATCGATTGGCAGGAACCCAGATCCTTCTCTCCTATTATTCGTCCAAGTCCTCTGAAGAGGCGGGAGAAAAAAGGGGCGCCATGGGCCGACCCGCGCGCAGGCGTGGAAAGCAGAGACGCTAGCTGCTCCGCCGGTTCTGCATCGTGTGCGCAAGCGCGGCGTCTGCAGCTCGCCCCTAGCGGGAGGGAGGGGGCGGTGGCGAGAGCGCGCTAGGGGGTGAGAGAGCACAAGCAAGACCCCGGCGCTGGGCGCCCCCAGACCCCTGCCCCGCCTTCGCTCTCCCGGCTGCTTCTCGCGCGCCGCCCCGCCTCCGGCGCTCGCCGAGCCGCGCCCTTCGCCCTCTCCCCTTTCCCTACGGGCGGCTCCGGCGGCCTGAGGGGCGGCGCCTTCTGCGGCCTCCCCGGCGGGGGGGATGTGAGGGGCGGCCCGCGGCTATGGAGACGGGCCCGGCGCCCCTGGTGGCCCCGCCGCGCCGTCATGGTGCCCCCGCGGCCCCATCGCCACCGCCCCGGAGTTCCCGGGCCGGGCCCGTCGTGGTGGTGGCTTCGGGACCGCCAGTGACTACGGCCACTTCGGCCCCTGTCACCCTGGTGGCCCCCGGGGAGGCGCGGCCCGCCTGGGTCCCGGGGCCGGCCCCGATCTTGGCTCCAGAGGTCGCAGGCAGCACGGTGGGGGTGCTTACTTTGGAGGCCTCACCTGAAGCCCCGAAGACGCAGGTCCCCCCCGACTCAGAGCTCCCCATGCCGGCTGCAGTAGCAGGAGCCGAGACGTCCGTGGTTTTGGCCTCAGGGGCAGACTCTCCGAAGACGGAGGAGGCTCGAACCTCACCAGCTCCAGGACCAGGAACTTCCACTGGGACCCCCACCAGGACCCCTTCCAGAACGGCACCTGGGGCCCTGACCGCCAAACCTCCGCTTGCCCCTAAGCCAGGAACCACAGTGGCCTCAGGAGTGACTGCACGGGGTGCAGCAGGACAGGTGACAAGTGGACATGGAGGTGCAACAGCAACATCAGCATCAGCAGGACAGGCTCCTGAGGACCCCTCAGGGCCTGGTACAGGCCCTCCGGGGACGTGTGAAGCTCCGGTAGCGGTCGTGACAGTGACCCCAGCTCCGGAGCCTGCTGAAAACTCTCAAGATCTGGGCTCCACGTCCAGCCTGGGACCTGGCATCTCTGGGCCTCGAGGGCAGGCCCCGGACACTCTGAGCTACTTGGACTCTGTGAGCCTAATGTCTGGAACCTTGGAGTCCTTGGCAGATGATGTGAGCTCCCTGGGCTCAGATTCGGAGATAAATGGGCTGGCCCTGCGCAAGACGGACAAGTATGGCTTCCTTGGGGGCAGCCAGTACTCGGGCAGCCTGTGAGTACTCGGTGGGCACCCTGTGGGACTACCTGGGGAAACAGGTTGGGGGAGGGGAAATGATACACCTTGGCCTGGCTCTGGCTGCCCAGCCTCCTCTGAGGATCCAGGGGGTGGTTAAAGGGAGCTGTGTCACCTAGAGCATCCTGGGATTTCTGTGACACTGGCATATTCGAGTTTTGGACCCAGGGGTCAGGACAGCTGAGTTTAAGCCTAGACCTTGCTTTGGTGCATTGTGTGTCCTTGAGCTAGTGGTGTCCCGGTTTCTGTGCCTCAGTTTCCTCCTCAGAAGGGTTGAATGAAATGATACCTAAACTCATCCCAGCTCCTTGATTTGAAACTCCAGCTACATACTATATATTATGGAAAGTTACTTGGGCAGGGGTTTTGGTATTGACCTTTGGTCACTTATGGGCAGAGTCTGGAGGGATGCAGGCATTGTCTCCTGCATAGTGAGGTGGGGAAGTCTGGATGGAGGGGAGACCTTAAAGGCAGGGCCCCTCTGGGAAACAGGACAGTCTGTCTTGTTTTCACTGAAGGAAAGGGGGTGGGGAAGGCCTCTTCCCCATTTCCTCATCTCCCCAGCCCGCCTTACTCTTTCCTAGTTCCTTCCAGGGGCCTGAGTCACTCCTGAGGTGGGGGTGTGATGGCTTCTGTCTTCTTCCTTCTCTCTCTGTATCCTGTCCCATTATTCCTGTGTCCCCTTAACCTGCTGGTCAGTTCACCTACAGTGTTGCCTGAGCACACAGGTGCAAGGCCCTGTGCTGCATATTAAGGATAAAGTAATCCTTTCAAAGAGTTGATCTGGAGGTAGAGATGAAAACTTAAACAGTTGGTTTCAATATAATCAGGTTTAGCCTAGAGCTCATCATATGGTTTTGTAAGCACCTGGGGAAGGTGCCTCTTACCTTGTCTGGGAATTCAGCTGAAAATGGTCTGAATCATGAAGAATGAATTGGATTTAGTCATGACTGTGGGTTGGGGGTGGGGGAAGGCTTTTTGGAGGGTATTGCAAACAGGATTTATAAGCTAACAAAAATCAGGAAACTTTTGATTAAGCACCAACATTCTTTGTCCAATGAGGGGAAGGTAACTGAAGTTTGACTTTGGTGCTTTCCAACACATATGGGTTCATGTTTGTACTCAGCTTATAGAGGAAGAAACAAAGCAGTGAGTAAATTCTCTCCCTCAAATAATGTAGATCTGTGTGACCAATGGTTCTTTCCAGGCTGTCCTAAGGAATTTGGGTTGAATTAAATTTTAGAGAGTTCTTTTTGTGTGCTAGGCACTGTGCTAGTTGCTCTTTCTCTGCTTTGTAATTTTGTCTTTCCAAAGTCTCTTCTTTCATGCTAGAGAAATCTTTCTCTTGAGGGGCAAGGCTAGCTGTGGCACACATTATCTTGAAAGCTCTTCAAGTTTTTCATGGCTCCCTGTCATCTACAGGGTAAAATCTAAGCTCTTCAGCCTACACATAGGCCCCTTATTGTTCAGCCACTCTAGCCTTTCTGTTCTGATTTCCCACCACTCCTCCTCAGGCACTTTGTGCTGTGGACCTGCTGAACTTCTTGTCATTTGTTTTCAGGCTGTCCTATCTGCTAGCCTTCATTGCCTGCTCATTTCCATTCAATCATGATTTACTTCAGATGTCCTCTCCTGCAGGAAGCCTTCCCTGATATCCACTGCTCCTACTGCAATTACATGCCTCTTGTGTGCATCTTTGTTATTTCATTTCCATATCTCCCCTTAAGGTGTGATGTTCTGTGGGAAGAAAGGTATCCTCCTCTTCCCAGCTCTTAGTAGAGTTTGGAACTGACTTACGATAGAGATTAATGAGAGATGTCCCTGTTTAGGAACTTCTGGAACAAAAGAAACTATAATGAGACCCTTTAACAGTATACTTTATATAAATTTTCTCAATAGTCTCCTCATAACTTTGTAGCTGGTAGCATCCCTTTTTATAGCTGAGGAAGAGACTCAGGTTAAACAGGTTATCATTGCCAAGACTCCCCAGCTTCTAAGTTTTGAGCTTAGGCCTGTCTGTTTTCTAAGACTGGAGCTCTTTCTTGTATCTTCTGGTACTGGCTGCTACAAGTAACTGTTTCAAGACAGATGGGCACTTTAGTAAGAAACTCTGACAATGGTGAGCATACAAGGCAATGAGGATTTTATTTGGGAACCTGGGGAGATTTCAGGGAGGTGGTGGTAGAGGAAATCCCAGGTGGTCCAAGGGATCTCAAGAGTCTGAAAGAATGAAATTCAGGCAGTTGCTCCTAAGGAGACAAAGAAGTACATATCTTGTGTTTTTATTTGATAGATAATAATTGCTATTATTTAGATTCTCGCTGTGTGTTATTTCATATAACCTTTCAACAAACTCCTTCAGGTAGATACTGTTATTCTCTCTACCTTATAAATGAGGAAATTGAGGCTTATAAAAATTAAGTGACTTGCCCAAGGTCACACAATGAATAAGTGGTAAACCTATGCAAAATGTGACTTAAATATTCTATACTTGTTCCTCAAATTTTGATCTGCCAAAAATGGGTAGGCTTTGAACATGACCTCTGTATAGAGATCCTATAGGGAAGCAATCCCTATTAGTATGACTAGGGCCTTGGATGGCCAAATGACCAAACATTCTGATTTTAGTAGCTCACAAGAAGTCCATTTTATCATTTGAGCTTAGTAAGGTGACCAGCTCAATGCTCTCAGTAGCTCAGGTTTTGTACTATTGTTACTGACCCCTTCCATGCTCCCCTACCCCATCCTGCAGAGAGAGCTCCATTCCTGTGGATGTGGCTCGGCAGCGGGAGCTCAAATGGCTGGAGATGTTCAATAACTGGGATAAGTGGCTGTCACGGCGTTTCCAGAAGGTTTGAGAGGGTTGTGTGGTGGGCTGGGTAACATATAAGGGTTGGGGAGGGCATGTGTTCCTTGGAAACTCAGGAAACTGATAATATATGCCCTCTGGACCACATTGGGGATAGGTAGTACGTGGGCCCTTGGGGTAAGAAGAACTTTAAGTAGAAGGTCAGGCCTTAAGTAGAAGGTCAGGCCAGGTCCAGTGGAGTAAAATCTGACATTTGGAGGACTGTCTCAGGGAGTCTGAGGGACTGCTGGGGAAACCTCAGAGGCTGTGCCAGCCTCTGAAGCTATCCCCCTGGCTG